TTTACATCCCTGGCAGGATGCATAGGAATGAAAAACTGTCACGTAACTAATTCCCTTCGGACAATAGCAGAAACAGTTCATATCCACATCGAACTTATAAAGCGGATTTCTCAACGAAGAGATGAACTTCTGCAAAAACAGACAAAACTTGTTTCCTTTGGGAACAGTCACAAACACATGCTTCTTCCTTCTCAACTGCCACTCAATCACATTACAACATAGCAACCAAATAGAAGCTCTGTTCTGTTTGGGAGAAGGGTTGTTGATCACTATACAGTGGGGCTGCAATCTCTCCAGTTGCTGCCAAATACTATCTTGACCCTTCATAGTGGAAAAGTTGTATCCTGCCTTGAAATCCATAGGAGATGCAACTTTAACACCATTCTTTGAAAGGAACCAAGATAATCCACTGTTTCCATGAAGTAACTCAACAACATCAGGATGATCATCATTACAGAAGAAAAAGGACTGTTCTCCGAATTCGGCATCAACATACAGTTCGTGATCTTCACGCAAGTTCTCCGGATTCTCATCGTCTAATGCCGGTATGGAAACATCATGCCACTCATCGTGATCGCGTCTAACCTTTGACTGATTCACACGTATCACTGCCTTACCAGTATTGGCTTGGACCATAGCTCCTTCTTGTCCAAGTACTGTGGCACGAACCCAACGTCCTTTATCCTTGAACTTTGATGAATCCTGAGTCCAAACAAAAACCTTCTCTCCTTGGAAATAAGGACCATCACTTGGCATAGTCCTTCTTGCAAGATCTGCTCGAAGGTCCTGAGCTTGTCGTGCTTCTTGATGAGCTCTCAAAGCCACACGTTGTAGTTCCAAATTTGTACGATCTTGTGCGGCGGCATTAGCTGACAATTGCTCAGGGCTTGCGGTCTCAAGGTCAAAAAGATCTGGTGGACGTCTTCCAGTTGCTATCTCTATTGGTGAATATCCACTGATAGTCAACTGACAATTTCTTGCCCAAACTACCTTCTTGACCACTTCTCTGACCGTAACACCACGAAAACGTGGGTCATCCAGATCTACCTTCATAGCATGCCACATACGTTTGAACAAACGTACAGCTGTCTCTGCTCGGTTCGGCCAAGGAGTTCTTGGCCCACAAGGACATTGTTGTATACCATGGAACCTGTAGTATTCAACAAAAGCATCTGTGAAAAAGGCTTCGTCTCCTACGATGGCCTTCGGAACACAGTTGTTCTCATCAGACCACTGCCTCAATGCTTGGATGGTGGTTTGATCTATGAGGTCTTTCTGTGCCGTAGCCCAGAGAAGATTTGTGGCACCATCAAGAACAAGTAGAATGATATACTTGTTCTTGTGAAGTTCAACCTCACAATGATCAGCAAAAACAACATCACCAAAACATGAAGCTCTAATACCGGAGACTCTGGCTCGTGGCGGAGGTGCCACTGAAGTGTTACAAACACGGCAGTTCCTGACAACTGATTCATACTTCTCTAAAACAGAGTCAGGAAGCTTCAACATAGAAACACGTCTACGAAACTGAGTAGGACTCATATGGTAGTGCTTCACATGAAGCTTATAAAGCTCTACCTTGTCCTCCAGTCTCTGTAACATCTTCCTATATGCCGGTGTCATTGCAACAACTTCACTACCAGGTAATGGGACTGAAATCCGCCTAGGCTCAAGAGCGCCATCACCTGGTTCAAGTGGTTCATGTTTCTCACTTGATAGTCCTTTTGATGCTTTAGGAATTTCTACAAGTTCACCTTCTGGCCTCTCAGGTGGTTCTGAAGGAGCATACTCCTCAAGATCATCACCCTTTAAATCATTCTGAGGCTCAGATGGTTTCGACTTGTGTCCTTTCCAAAATGGATCAAAACCCTTGGAAGTATACCGAAACTTTGGCGGCACGGGCTTTTCCGCGGCACTGGATGGTGCACCTTCCTTCTCTGACGAGAAGCCTGGTTCCCTGTCCTTTGCAATGGGAACCTTCTCTGAGGAGGAGCGCACCACTGCATCGGGATCACCAATGCCACGGTGCTCAATGCCAGCCTTCCTGATCTTTAGATCTGGAATTTTGGCATCTGGCTTAAATTTAAAAATTGTTCTACCACGCCATTCATAGCCAAGTTGTAGGTCCTTCCATTTTGCCTTGCGCCAATCATCTGTCTTCTTGATTTCTTCTCCTCCTGCTTTCTTCTTGATGATTGTCAGTCGCAAGTCTTCCAGCAAGTCAGTGTCTACAGGACAGGACTTAGTTGCTGGGAAAAGAATTTTCCTGTAATCCTTGTGGTGACGTATCAGTTCTCTCTTGTGAACATCTACTTCCCAGAAATCAACCACAGGATATGCATGCTCAGCTTCACCTTCATCACTATTGTGTTCAACAGAAATATGGCCATATTCATGGTGAGTGAGGTGAGAGTAAAAACTCTTCTCACGCTGAGTCTGCCAACGCACGTCAGACAGATACCATGCAATATCTTGGAAGTCCAACACAAGATGAGTACTGGCTGCAACCTTCAACTCCAAAAATTTGATACCAAGAGGCACCGATGTCAGATAAGCATGTTGAGGTGTCAGCCTGAGTTCAAAGCCTAAGTTCCTCATCTGTGGCAAGCTCATAAGCAAAGGGACTTCTCCTTCTTCCACTATGTCGAACTCTGTATGGTGGATCGTCCATGCACGATCATACATGTAAATCACCAGTTTCTGAGAGCAAGTAGCCTTCTGGGAATTGGCAAAGTAAAACTTGCTCTTGGTAGACTCAAAAGAGTACCATAATCCACAATCTGGGTGATTTTCGACATAGTTGCAAAAATGGTCGACTGCTCGCCTTGATCCCATAGCTCTAGTGCATCCAATGTCCAGGATTGCAATAGTTGGCGGGAAGCGATTCTCAGTCAAAAATGAAATAGCCTGCATCTCCTTCACTTCTTCCTCAGCGCTCATAAGCGCAAAGCCATCAGCGCTCATAAGCGCAAAGCCATCAGGAGCCTTTGTGAGCATCTCCTTTGACAAAGAGTACCTCACAGGGGCACTCATGTCATCGAAGATCGTCTCACCATTGTTGACCATGCAGTCAGCTTCATCTTGGCATGAGGTCATCATGCCTGACAGCAAGTCCACCTCACTGTCATGGACTTCAGCTGCTGCTGTCACACAATGTGCAAAGAAAACTTGTTGACCTCCTGATGCTTGTGAAGATCTTGAAGGTGCAGGTAAAGAACATGGCTGTTGTTGATTTGCATAGTTTGCATCTTGTTTGCCATCTCCTTTATCTTTTCCTTTTCCTTTCTTGCCTTTTCTCTTGCCTTTTCCTTTTCCTTTGTGGGAAAACCATGCTTCTTCAAGTTGTTGCCAAAAGTCATTGGCATCATCATATTCTCCTTGAAGATAGTCATTCATATCCTCGGCAAGAATGGCATCATATGCTCCTTGGGTTGACTCCCAAGTGTCCTCATAAGGATTCTCTTCAAAGTACTCTTCTGGATATGTTGTCTGTTGCTCATCAGCAAAATGGCCTTTACCTCGTCTCTTCCCTTTTCCTTTTCCACGAGGTCTGAAGAATCTACGGCCTGATCTTCCTTCTCCTTTTCCTTTTCTTCTACCTTTTCCTTTGCCTTTTCTGGCTCTTCTTCCTTGGAATCTCCTTTGGAACCACGAGAAGTTTTGATCATCATATACCCAAAAGACATCGTCTAGGGCATCTAAAAATCCTTCTGTTCCATCTTCTTCATCTTCGGCCCAATAGCCAAATGTACCATCGAGTTCTCCTTCGTCTAGTACGAGAAATGATCTTCTACCTCCAGCACCTGTCGGCTGCATCAATGGATTGTCTACTGAAGTCTTTGTCGTGCAGAACATCTCGATGAACACTGTCCTCAACTCTGTTGTAGTGTATTGCTGCAGGTACCTGCCACGATGAGTCATCAACGAAGTCAAAGTGTTTCGCTGGTCCTGAGACAAATCTGCAAGGGACAGCATGAGTAGGGCAATGAGATTCTCTCCTAAAGGAAAATCATTCTGATGAAGAATTCTCATATTGCCATTGACATTCTGCATGATTTCCTGAATCCTTTCTGCCGTTGGTGCTGCTCCAGTCAACGCTGCATCTGCCTGCATCTGAGCAAGGACTTGGGGATGTGCTTGAGTGACTGGTTCTAACATGTCCATCCAACTGCTCATAAGCCTTTGGAGTAAAATCTGGAATCTTGTCATCCATTTCATCATGTCGGCTGATCCTCGATTGAATCGCACGAATTGCATAAACCTGTATAGGAATACATTGGTTGATCCTTTCACGAAATATGGTCGTAGTACTCGTTTGAAGTAATCTACTCCTGCTCCTGGTGGCTCATTAGCCTTCAATGAATCTCTGTCTAATACACGTTTGTATACTGCTGCTTCTCCTTCTAATCTGTTTCTCAAAGCTGGTCCTCTCTTCTCATCTTCCAGCTCGGTGATATCACACCAATCGTCTATGGCATCCTCATAGGAAAACCATGAAGTCTTTCCATCATAAGATGGGGGCACCTTTGTAGTGACCTGTGTTGTCATTGCTATTGCTGCTGGTTCTCTTCTCACATGCCTATTCACGTAGGCTGCTGGCTCATAAGCCACATCCGCATCAGGCTCTTCCCAGTCGTCAATCCAATCCATGGCCGTTTGCCCACAAGCAATTCTATGCCTAGGAAAGGAGCTCACCTGGGTCTTCCAGGATCACTGCTCCGCTACCACTGAAAGAGTGACTAGGGCGTACACGGTAGAGGTGCAGACCGCTAGTGTCTTTTGCTCACGCAGAGTCTTATCCTTAGGTCCATTGACCCTCTCTTGAGCCTTGAAGTAGTCAAGCATGGACACACTATATCAGCTGTTGGAGTGGAACCCTGTACAGGTAGGCTCTACTTTTCAGGGGGGGGGGGTCCATAAGATTGATTTAATCAATTATTTGAGGTTTCTGAGGTGCGTCCACCCCGTCACTTAACTTGCTAAAGCAAGAGCAACTCCAGCTAGCTAAGGCTAGCTTTCGTGATCAGCTTGTTCATACCCTCGGCACCCATCATGTTGCCAAGCGCCAAGTGCTGCTTGCCATCAAGGCATCCCCCAGCCTAAGTAGGTTGATGCGCGAAGGTTGCACGCGCTAGCTTGTGTAGTAAACCCATTTGGTTCAAAATTCAAAACAAATAGACTTCAATCAGGGAACTTCCACGAAGGCTTTGAGCCCCTCGGAGTCTAGGGTCCCTTCCATCTCTAGCTGGGTGATGCGGCGAAGTTCCTTCGCGTCCTCTATGTTCATTTCCACCATCACAAAGTACAACAGCTCGTTCTCGCCGGGAAACTCCGGGTCCGCCACTGTCCTAGGTGTGGCTGATTGGACTAGCTGGCCAGATGTCTTTGTCGAGGCGAGGAGGGTCCGAAGGGCCGGAGAACAGGGACCCACGGTGTGGAAACTAGAATGCAAAAGTTAGGGATTCAAGCTAAGGGTCAATCCATGAGCATTCTTTCGTTCCATAATGCGAGCAGCTTTGCGCCCGCCATGGTGTTTGATCAACCATTGATCATTGCGGAACCCCCACTTCGCAGAGGTTCTCTGAACCTCTTCGAGCCGCTGCTCGAACCTTGCCTCCACCTTAGCAAAGTCCTTCCCGCAGTCGATGAAGTCGCGAAACATCTGGTGCGGGGTCTCCTATAGGAGTGTTGAGCTGGTGGTTCATCCCTATACTGCTTTATAAACCACATATTCCCAAAGTATAGGGCTGATCTGTGGATAAAATCATTAACACTTTCAAACTCAATATTTCCAAATGTAGACTTGAGACAGAGATAGAACAAATAGGCTGCCCTGCCTGGGACTTGCATGCTGCAATGATCTTCGCCGGGCACCGCTTCTTGTTACGCATCCAGCGTGAGAACTGTTGCCACTCTTTGCGGTGTGAAGTGGAATTGGCCAAGCCAGCTAGCTCAGCTTCCTCCAATGCCTTTCCTTCACCATCACTAGTCTTCTCCTCTTCTGTCTCCTCCTCTTCAGTCTTCCTTTTCTTGCGACAACTTGACTCATCGGCTAGTTTCTTCTTCTTGTGTTCATTTTCTTCTTCTGCGCTTGCCTTCTTGTCTGCCTTCTCCTTCCCACTCTTACTCTTCTCCTTTGTCGCCTTCTCTTTTGCACGCTCTTTGGCCTTCACTTTAGAGGCTTTTCCATCACTCTTCTCTCCATCTTTTTTCTTCCCCTCTGCCCCCTTCTTTGCTGCAGCCTTCTCTGCCTCCTTCTTTCCTCCATTCTTTGCATCCTTCTTCTCTGCCTTCTTCTCTTCATTTGCCTCCTTCTTCTTACTCACTGCTTCCTTCTTCTCTGCAGCCGCCTTCTTGGCAACACTCTTCTCCTCTGCCTCTCGCTTCTTCTTTGCCTCTTCATTCTTCTCTGCCTGTTTCTTATTATTCTTCTTCTCTTCCGTTCCATCGCTTTTCTTCTTTGTCTCTTTTGCAGAGGTTTTCTTCAAGATTCCCTTGCTCGGTGTGTCATCCTCATCTTCCTCTTCCTCCTCTTCCTCTTGATCTTCACTGCTTGCATCCTCCTCACCCGCTTCATCTTCCCCACTTTCACCCTCCTCCTCCTCCTCACTATCAGATTCATCACTCTCGGACTTTGCGCTTTCACTCGATGATTCTGATTCTTCATTGTTCTCATCGTCATCCTTCTCCTCCTTTTCTTCTCCTCCTCCTTCTCCTCATCCTCCTTCTCTGAGTTGTCTTCCTCAGAGGCATTGTGCCGAGAGAGACAGTAAGCTTTCCACCACTCTTGCATGAGACGAACGGATTTGTGTGACAATCTTTTGGGTTGCCTCTTCATGGAACCCCTTGGAATCCCAGGCGCTTTCAGAAGAACACCAGGTGTCTCAAACTGTGCCCAGTAGATCCGACGAGCCTCCAGCACTTCTTCATCTTCAGACGACTCACTGCTCGAAGACCCCTCTGCTTCCTTATCATCCTTTTTGTCCTTGTTGGCACCTTTCTCCGCCTTGACAAGGAGACATGAATAGAGGATGAGAAGTTCAAAAGGGAGGAACCTCTAAAGTAATGGAACAACAAAAAAGAAAAGGTTACATCCCCAACCCACTCCCACAAGCCTTCAGTTGTTGAACAATCGCAGTAGCCTCCGATTCATCCATTGCCTTCTTATTAGACTTTCCCTTCCCCTTGTTCTCAGCTTCGATCTGGTGGATGGAGTTCTCACCAAAAGAAATCCTACACTTGGTAGAGCCCTTCGAAGCACTTGAAGAAGACCTGCTGCTCGGCCTTGGGGGTGGTGTTGTATAGACGTCCACATCCCGCAACTTCCCGGTCTTCTTTTTTACCTTACTCTCAGCAGCAGCCTTGCGTAATTCCTTGGGATTTGGACTGACTGCCCTGGGAGCTGACTTGCTCCGATGCCTGTGACGTGGAGGTTCAGGCGCCATATATGCACACTAGGTCGAGTGATCTGCTCTAGCTGCCCTGCTTTGGACCCTGAACATATATGCACAAGAATGTACACCTATTCGATATGAACATGTGTCAAACCCACAGCCCTAATCTAGTGAACATATGGCTCTAAACGAGATTGAACACAGCACTAATTGTTTTCATGCCAAAGTGCTTGCGCGATCGCGAAGACACTCCCACAGTCGCTCATGGTCCCTACAGATCCTGTTTCTTTCAGATTTCTGTTCAGAACCGTTCAAAATCTTTGAGGTCCAGAACCCAAGAAATTTCTCGGTTTTTCTCGGCCATTTCCCGGATTTTTCCCGGATTCCCGGGTTCTAAGTTATTGATATTTTTTAAGAAAAAATGGACAAAACATGACAAAACATCAACAGATCTATTCAAAGTTGGCTCAATGTTTCATATTTCTTGGGTTGAAAGATAGAATCAAGGACCATCCGGGAAATTTCTTGGGTTGGACAATGGAACTCGGGAAATTTCTTGGGTTGGGCGATGGAACCCGGGAAATTTCTTGGGTTGGATGATGGAACCCGGGAAATTTCTTGGGTTGGACGATGGAACCCAGCAACTTTCTTGGAATTTAGGAATTCCATAATGTGTAATTATAAGATGTGTGGATATCCATGAGCCACCGTGGGTAGATCAGCATCTGATTAAGTCAGATCTAGTTGAATTGCTCTCATGTTAGAGCTATGGCACTACTTGCGCAGCGCGAGCATGACCTGCGGCAGGTCGGCGCCCCTCATCCAACCAATGTCCTGCAGAAAGGCAGCTCATGTGGGAGTGGGTGTGGCTCTTTGGTCAAGTGGTCAAGGATTGAAGGATTGACTGGATATCCAGAGCAGCATGTTTCCCTTTTTACCATGGTACAACATAAACATGCTGAATAAAAGGTTCAGTCCTTGAACTGCTTGATGGGCGATGTTCGATCAGCCAGCGTGTTCCTCAGCAATGAGTGCCAATACATGCTTTGTTGCTCACACCTTTTCAGACCTGTACTACATTCTACAGAGTTCCTATTCCATGTTGGCTGGCCAATCTTTCTATAGAGAAGTCCCAGGGTCTTCTGATCTGCAATCGCCTTGCGCACTTCAGGCCGTTGGGAAAGAAACAGCTCTGCAAGGCGGTCCCGAGCAACTTCGGGTAGTGTTGGAAGTGGCAAGAACAACTGCTCTATGAACTTGTAATTGGAGTAGAGCAGCGTTGGCTTTGGGCCTGGGCTAGAGAGAGATGCTGTAGATAGATGGCTTAACTTGGCTTTGGGTCCCACTCAGCAGCAAAAAGAAATCTTTCTGAGAGGTGTGAGCCAGTTCTGTAGCATACCAACAACATTTGGAGTTGCGATTTGAAGAAACCAATTTTGAGTCTGTCCTTTGGTATCGTTTGTACAGCTTGACAGGCCCGCCGGCAAGTCCATCAGCCCGGATCCCTGATGCATGGCAGGTGTCAATCGCCCCCGTAGCTTCCCAGCCAGAGGAACACCTGAGCAGGTTGCTTACTTAGCGGCTGGTAGGTTGCCCACTCCGAAAATGACACATCTCTTCCACATATCTAGGTTGAGGTGCTTTGTATCCCGTTGTCCGCTTGCACAATTCCTGGAATGCAGGGTGCCATTCCATCAAAGAGCTTCCTGGTTGCTCCACAACCCAAGGGATGCGAAGGATGCTCATCATCAAGAGGGCCGTGACCACTCTATAGATCATACAATTCCTGAGATGGGCAATCAGCGCACTGCAAGAAGACCCGGGTTGTATAATGTAGACAGTTGATCAATATAGCCACAGCCACACATGTGGAGATGTAGAGCTGTAAACCCTATGTAAGGGTGGCTTGATTCATCAACAGTCTACATTAGAGCTCAAGGTTATGTTTTTTTCGTGAATCCTTTCCACAGTGGCGAAGACCACTCTGTAGCTAGTCCCCCATCATCCTACGGAATTCAAATGGCTCTCTGCACATTCCTGGACCCACACATCTTAAAGGTCCAGGCATTGAGAGATAGCCCACACAAATGTTCCACATTGGTGAGCCCTGCCCCCGGACAAAACAACATGCATATTGCATTGGTTGAAGCATGAAACACATGAAAGAGCTCACCAAGGAGAACATGCACTACAAAGCTAGCCAGACAGACCTCTACTCAGCCTGGTCAGCAGAGGCTGGCAACCCCATGATCGCCCTCGCCTTCTCCCATGCCTCGTTGATGCCATTTGCAAAGGAAATCCTTGGGGCAAAGAAGAACAACTCAACACTTGAGGGGTTTGATGACAAACATGGTGATCACCTGGGTGGCAACACTCTAAACCCTGCAAAGGGACGATTTTGTGTTCTCCCCAGTGGGCTTCACCCCGCTGACATCCGAGCGAGGCTTGAAGGCTTGCTGGCGAAGCAAGATCTCAAGGCGGGCAGAGCCGTGCAGCCTCCTTAAAGATCAGTGTGGAAAAGAAACCTTTAGATATAGAACATGCTAGAACATTCTACTGTGGTCCCTACATCGTTTTGTCATTCCAAAAGAATGCAAACAAGGAACACAGTATAGGAATGATTCCCATGACGCGCTTGGGGCCACAGGCTCATTGGCAACTTGCGAATGATGTCTTGGTAGGCTTCAGTAAAAGTAGACAGCAAATCACCGGCTCCAACATCAGGCTCTGCTCGATTGGAGTGGGCTGAAGGACTACGAGGCCGCTTGCCATTACTCTTAGTACTGTCTTCCTTGGGAGGCTTGGACTTGACAGCTTTGGACGTCTTGGACTTACGCTTCTTTGACCCCTTACTCTTGGAACCCTTCTCCCTCTTCTCATCCACCCTGACTGGCGATGGATCCAACGCTGCCAGGGCCTCATTGAAGCCATCTGGGTCCTTCAGTCTGGAAGCCAGATGAGAAATGATGGGGATGAGGGATTGGGACACGCGACTATGTTGGAACTGCAAACCAACGCAGGCCAAGTACGCTCAAAGACATTTTGTTGGGGCGCCTTTTATTGTCCTTTTGGAAAGCCTGTGAAGAGCAACAAACGCTACCTATAGGGTCCGTTGCTGGCGTGGGATGGAAAACAATCTTTCCTGTATGCAGATTGAAATAGTGATATATAAATCTATAGAGTTATATATATATTTTTATATAGTAATATATATATGTATATAGTGACCTTTATATGTACATAGATATATAGTGACACAACTAGTTACAGAGTGTTCAGCAGACTCTCCTTTCCATCGTAGATGACCAAAGCTTCATGGGGGAGCTCATCAGCAGTACTGATATCAGCAATGCAGGCATCAAATGAAGCCTTATCATCGACCTCGTAATGTGTTGCCAAATGTCACTTCCCACATCGCTGACCTCAGGGAAACATTGACTGTTTTTGAAGGACCCTGGAAGTTCAGTATTTTATTTGCCCTACATGTACAAAACTTCTCCACCCGGTAACACCCCTACTTGGTTTGTGGAGTATTGGTGGTGCCTCCGTGCTGTTGGACTCCACATCAGACAGCTCTGAGGAATCACCATCATGAAGAGGCACATCAACACCCATGAAGTTGTCGGGGATCCCATCAGTTGTGACACTTTCATCATCGCTGGATCCACCGAAACGATCAGTCTCAGCTTCCAGTTCAGGTGCACAGGGCTTCTGGTTGCTCCTCATTTGATCCTTCAACAACTGGGTCCACACAGAGCGGCTGGAGTGTGGACTGTTCTGCCACTTCCTGGGAGAGAGATGTGGCGTTCAAAGAACCACTCACCATGGAACCACCAACCCCGAAAATGCCACCAACCCCGAAAAGAGACACACATGCATGCCACCACATGTCCTTCGAAGTCCAGATCAGAGCTTTCCCAGCTTCTTGGCACAGGAAATCTGTGCATCAGTAGCTGATCCCTCCAAAGAACCCATCTCCTCAGGACGCGGGACTGCACACTCAACCCCAACCCAACGTTGAGCTTACTTTGCTCCACTTTCCTCAATCCACACTGCATTGCCGAGGCACCTCCGCTTGAGAGGGTCGGAACGCAAGGCCCTCAATGCAGGACGGATAGCGCTGCGTTTGAAGAGGGTTGTGGGATGTTGTGGGACTTGACGAATTGCTCACAACCATATGTCTAGTTTGTTCAATATGTTTTCCCACTTGAGTCGCAGGCCTCATAGTAAGCATTGAAGCTATCCAAGATTATCCGAAACTCCTCCATGTTGGGCTTCCGGAATTGGAACTCATTGAACATCAACATGCTATGGACTGCCCAGAAATTCTTGATCCTCAGAGCTTGTGTGCCAAGTGTGTCTAGGGCACCGCTAAACGCAATTGAAAGTCAAAGCACTTAGAGTGATAAAACCTACAATTTAGCCATGGCTCAATGTCCTTTCTTTTGTTGTAGTTCCTTTGGCGAAGTCGCCAACCAACAAGTTGCTCTTGGGGATCTCGGTCAATGGTAGAATGGCCTCATCAGTAAATTTTCTTTGGAACAGCTTGAGCCATGTCCAATCCAAGGCTGGTCAGAGCGTCAACATACTGCGCCCACCCATCATGGGGCGAGCAGGCTCTCCACTCAGCTCTATCAGCCACAGACGGCATGAAAGACATGGCAGGAAAAGCACGAGTCCAAGCTAGCTTCTAAACAAACTTGTGGCTGCAGTTGAGATTGAATCTTGTTTTGCTGAAAGGAACAAATTGCCGACATGCGACTGTTTGTGCACATCACATCACCTGGACATGTTTGGTTTGCTGTCCTTCTTACTATTCTCGCCAAGCTTCGCAGCCTTGACCGATGGAACCATTTGATTTCCCAATGGCATATCGCGGGATCTTCCTGAGGTCGACCTGCATCTGTGTGAGTGACGAGCGTGGGTGCGGCACGGCGCTTTTCAAGATGGTTTGACCCTTCTTCAGACTTGCTTTGACCCTTCTTTGACCCCCTTCAAGATTTTTCTTGTCCAGTTGTATTTATGTTATATTCCACTTCCTTTACACTTGTCATTACACAAATATGAATGAACCCTCAATCGAAAGCGCTAGGCCTGTTGATCCAAACCCAGGTCGAACAGACAGGCGCAAACCATCCACAGCCACCCTCAGAAGACTCATGTTTTCCATTCAGTGCTCACGAGCATGTTGACTGATGCATTGCTGCGTCTTGAACTCTCAATTTCAACCCTAGTAATTTCAACATGCTTGAAAGCTCGAAAGACGTTTCACTTGGATCGAGAAGAGTGCTGCCGAAAGTCTGACTTCCAAAGTCTGCTCACCAACCCCAACAGGTAAGCGAAACCAATGCCAGTCATGATGTCTTCAAAGACGGGTCGGTCTTCCAACTCGAAAGAAGCTGCGCTGCACCCCATGGACCTGCCGATGCATATGAATGGTATGCACCAAAAGAGAAAAACAGGTGAACCTGCAAACCATTTGGGCAATGAGGAATATTCCCTTGATGTCAGGTATAAACCATTTGGGCGATGATGAACATCCCCCTGATACCAGGTATACTCATATGTTTTACCCTCCACACCTGACACAAGAAACCACACAGCTCTCATCTGCCAACTGCTTTGGCTTTCATGAAACGAAACTCCCATAGATTCAAAGGAGTCAGGCCTGAATCCATTCGTGATGGATTTGATGCCAGCAAAGGCTTCAACGCAATCGAGTGCCTGAAAAGAGTTGCTGACTTTCTCTTGCAGGGATTCATTTGTAACAGACTTAGCTGTTGATCCAAGCCACCACTGTTGGTTGCGTCATGCTGTCGAAGACGAGGTCAAAGGTCGATAGCAGGCTCCAGGGCAACCCACCAAACCAAAGAAGGCGGAGCCTTAGATCATCGCCAAATCGACGGAGTTCAAACCCCTCAGAACATAAGAGTGTTTTTTGGGCCATTGACCTCAAACTGGTGTTCTTTGTTTACAGCATATATTTGTATATGTAGTATATGTGTGTACATGTTCCCACCAACACGAATTTCCCAGACCTTCAGCCCGAGAACCATCGAGAACCCCAAGTTTTGACCAACAAAACAAGCAACATCTGTCGCAGCATTGGGCGGTAGCAGTTGTGGCTTACCCTGAAGGTCTTCTTCACCCCTTGGTACTCAAATTCCTTGGGTCCACGCTTCTTGGAATACATGCGGCGCCGAACGTGGCCCCGCTTCTTGCCCTCAAGTTTGACCAAACCCATGGCTTGGTAGCGGAGCAAAGGTCTCAGAGTCTAAGCCAAACACACTTGTGAACGGCATAGCGAAAGATGGGAAAGCTGCATGGACGACAAGCCCGTGACATGAGCAATTGGCTAACCAAGTGATCATTGCAACGCTGTAAACCTGGCAGGCAGACCTGAGCACAGACATTCTCCAAAATGGCCGCTGTCATGGCCACCGGCGGGCGCGACCAACGAGTGAACAGAGTGAACATGAAAAAATTTGACAAAATGACAACACTAAAACTGCATCACGCATACTGCATGCACAGGCTGTGCCCAGAAACACTTACGAACATGTGCAACCTGGATTGCAATGATCCTCTGGTTGACCAAACAAAAAGTATATGGGCCTGCACGGCTGCAAAGCACACGGCCTCGCTTTCATTTCAGAACTGCAGCCTCTGCTCAACTAGTCCGGTGGCAAAAAATAAGCTCTAGAATTGCAAAACGTTGAACCATTGTACGCAACTTGCCCTTAACAGCGAACATCGCGAGCGAATATCGAGAGGTATACAAACATTTCCTATATGGAAATGTTTCAAAGTGTTTCTAGCTCGTGTAAAGCTCTTAACCACGAATCACATTCGTGTATATGAGCATGTTGGCTTCCGTGAGGGCCTATCCAGCCCAAAGGCTTATCCTATCCAAGAATCATTGAAGACATAAGCCTGCATGTGAGAAGGCCTAAAGGATAGCACTCTCTGCTCTCTAGGTCCCATACTCCGGAAAGAAACAAAACACATGATTCTGTCCATTTGCGCCTCCAAAAAGTGGAAAATTTGGGGCGCAGACATAAAGACTGCCTTCCTGAGTGGTGATGCTTCTCAGCGTGGCATTTACTTTCGTCCCCCTGAGCAAATCCACGAGTGGATGAATCTTGGATCAGAAGACCTATTCCGATTAGAGAAAGCCGCGTACGGATTAGCAGAAGCACCACGAGCATGGTTCCTTCGTTTGTCTAGAGAATTAGCTGGTGTAGGACTGACTGTAGGCCAGTTGGATCCCTGCCTTTACGCTCTTAGACTACAAGGTGAACTTTGTGGTATATGTGGTATTCACGTAGGTGACCTGTTAGGTGGTGGAACCCCCGCAATGGATGAAGTGTTGAACAAGCTTATAGTGGAGATTATCGAACATTCACCAGCAGGTACACAGGCATCGAGATAAGACAAAATCCAACAACGTATGACATAGAGATAGGTCAAGAAAGCTATGTAGATGCACTTGAATCTGTTGCCACAAAGCCTCTTGGAATTGCATCAACCCCGTTGAAGAATCCGACAATCTTGAGAGCTTGCGCTGGACAACTTGCATGGGTGTCTAACGCAACCCGACCTGATCAAGCCTTTCTGTCATCGTACCTCCAAGGTGTTCAAGATCATGGACTTGTTTCGCATGTCAATCTATATAATAAGGCCTTGAGAGAGCTTAAGGAAAAACGCGTATGCCTTAAATTTCCCAGTCATGTTGATATCAAAGATTGGAGACTTTTGCGCGTAGCCGACGCAGGATGGGGAACCCGTGATAAAGGACTCAGGGTGGATATCTTTTGTGTTTAAGTACACCACACATCCTCGAGCGTAAGCCAGCCTGCACATGGCTCCTTGACTGGAAATCCAAAAAGTTGAGGCGAAAGGTCCGCAGTTCCGTTGCTGCCAAAACGCTCTCAGGACAAAACGGATTGGATGCCATCGAAACAATGCAAGCCTTGTTAGCGGAAACCCTGGATGGTATAGCCCCAAGAGTTTTTCGAAATAGCAAACCTGTGAATATATCAGCATTAGTGACTGACTCAAAAGGATTCTACGATGCTGTAACTAGAAGCTGTTGTTCATCAGCAATCTCTGTCGAAAGACGCCTTCAAATCGACTACTCTATTGCCAAAGAAACACTTGAAAACCAGAACATTGTAGTGTATTGGACAAACAATCTTGGCATGGCAGCCTGTTGCCTCACAAAACTGAAAGGAGACTCAAAACCATTGTTTGACCTTCTTGAAAATCTAGTGTATCAAATAAAAGCCAGTAAGGAATACGGCCGGAAAGAGAAGCAAAGCCAAGGGTCCAGCGATGTTGTCACTGAAGAGTGATTGCGTCTCATGCATGAGTGTTTATTTGTAGTCGAAGCCATAAACATGACTTGTTAAGCAAGCCTTAGGTTTCATGGCAGTGAGCAGTGCGTGTGAACCACTCACATTTGCTGCTGAAAAATTCATTGTTTTTTCTCCGCAATTTTGACTAGCAAGTCAAGCCTGCGATTTGAGCAAAGCGTGTGAAAGCTCTTGTGCTTTTGTCAGCCACCATGAGCCGCAATGCCAAGTGTGCAAAATCCCCGGCAATGGCTGATGCATATGAGCCACTGAATGGCTCTGAGATGATGGAGCTCAGCCGCATGTTTGCCCGTGCTGCGGTGAACAACCAGCTGAATGATCCAGTGCTCAGGAAGCATTTGCTCCCATGTCGTGTGCACGTGGCCAGCTTGCTTTCAGAGCTAGACCCCCATGGTCTTTTGCCAACCGGATCTATGTCTGATGCCTCGAAGCGTGGCCGTGACCTCGATTGGGATGTGATCGAGGAGTTGGTTGAAGAAGGAATCCCAAGGGCTGTGGCCGAGGTTGGTCACATTGACCATGGAGAAGGGAAGAAGTTGCCGAGCGATGTCGCCTCCTTTGAACAGTGGGGAAAGACCAAAGTCACTCACTTGGAGTACATGGATTGGCACCCGAAAGTGTTTGCCAAGCCCTCGGGATACAAGTAAGAGGGAGGTGTGATCGTTCGAAAAACCGTGGGAAAGCTGCAACGGCACCGAATGCCGAATGAGGGCGTGTGAAAGTGGAAGGGTGATCGGACGATCGTGCACCTTGCCAGGTTGAAGACTATGAATTCCGCTTCCCGCTGCCGTTGGCTGTGCCTCTACGAGGGGCCCCTTGGTAGCCATGACACTCGCTGCGCTCGCGATGGGATGAGAAAAGAGTGCGCCTAGTGAAGGGCGATTGTGGTGGAATCTCATTTCGACGTATCTTCCAGATACTCCTCTCTCGCCTTGCCGTCGCTACCATTTCTACAATATATATATATGTTTAAGTATATGATAACATTTGTATATAGTGACATATACGGACTTTTCCCTATGAATCAGTCCTTGGTGTTACAGGCATTGGCATCATAGGAGCTGGGGTCCAAATGATCTCAGGATTCTGTTCGGGCTGACGCATCCCAATCATAAGGAAACCAACACTGCTGGGTGGAGGTGGAGCCTTGAAATCAACTCCTTCTTGGGAACAACCCTCCACCCACTCAATGTCCAAGCCATTGCTGTTAGGAGATGGCATCTCAAGCACAGCCTATAGCCTATCGTGGAAGTAGTCAACAACAACTCGACACAAAAGCTTGCAGTGCAAAAATTCGTGTGAAGCCGCGAAGCCTTCAGAATTACTTCAACATGATGTTGAACAAACTGAAAGCAAAACAGGTCCAGCGCAAAGGGTTTTCTCATATTTTCGCATTATCAGGCACAGGTGGAGACCTATCCCTAACGGCCAACCACCGGCTCCTGTCAAGCCGCTAAGCCCCAGCTGTGATGTGTCGAGGGATTCGCAGGGGTTGGCTGACTCTAAAGAAGGCCACCGCTCTCAGCCTGCCAGCTGCCAAAGTGGAAGCCAAAGGGGATGTGGGAGGTGATGGTGGATCGTCTTCACTTAAGCCAGGCGCAAAGGTAGCGTGCTCCAACTTTGAGAGATTTGTGAAGAAGCAAAGTGGGGGCACTACTTTGATGCGGGAACCTTTGGGCTTTGTCAAGTAGAACTTCTTGATTTCTGTTTTCCAAAGCCACCCAACACTTTGAAACTATAGATGGATGTGGTTCAATGTAAATCCAAAAATGATGCCACACATCGCCTCTGCAAATGGGCTTTGTTTCTAGCCAAGCCTAGGGCCTGTAACTTTACAACTTCGATCCAGCAGTTCATTCAATGATGCAGAACAACAAAACCATTGTTCCCTCAATTGTTGCCACCGCAGGGAACCAAAGATGTTAAGTTGCTTGGGGACCGTCGTTCGTTGTTTCGGGGGAATTAGCGCAGAAGAAGTGTTTTTGACCCTTGCGGACCTCTGAAGAATTGGTTGTTCAGAACTAACAAAGGGTATAAAACACGTCTTGTTTTTTTTGCGTTGTTAGTGGCAACATACGAGACCCAAAGGACTATTTCATAGGTTTGTTTGTCTCGTGAGTGGTGAGTGAACGGCCATGGTAAAAGCTTTGTAGACGTTGTAAACCTTTGTAAGTTTGTTTGTAATTCAACAACTCTGTCAACTCTTTGCAAAAGTTGCAAACTTTGTACAAATTCTTAAGACTTTGTGAAAGTTTTGTAAACTTTGTATAACTTTGTAAAAATACAAAACTTTGTAAACGTTCTAAAAACTGTGTAAAACGTTGCTCTAACTTTGAAGAATAATTTGAAGAACTCCAAAACTTCGTAAAAGGTTTGTAAACCTTTTTACAAAGTTTGCGAATTTTACAACGTCTTAATAAAGTTTTACCAAGTTCTTACACAGTTTTACAAGTTTAAAGGTTGACAAAGCTTACAAAGTTTGACAAAGTTTAAAAATGTTTTACAAAGTCTACAAAGTGTTGACAAAGTTTACCAAGTTTATACCAAGTTCACTACGTTTTTACAAAGCTTCCAAAGTTGGTACAAAGTTTACAAAGTTTTACACAGATTTTATGAAGTTTGCAAAGTTTTGAAAGTTTTACAACTGTTTACCAAGTTTACAAAGTTATACAAAGTTTACAATATTTTAACACAGTTTACAAAGTTTTGAACAATTTCCAAAGTTTACCCAGTTTACAAAGGTTTTACCATTAAAAAATCAATTAAAGACGTATTGAAAGTTTTACAATGTTGCTGCAATGTTGACAAAGTTTTTACAAAGTTTACACAGTTTTGCAAAGTTTTGATAGTTTACAAAGCTTGTACAAAGTTTATAAAATCTTTACAAAGATTGCAATTTTTACAAATTCACATGGAGTTTTTTCAAAGTGTACAAACATTTGCAAACTTTACATAGTTTACAAAGCTTTCACAAAAGTTGCAAAGTTTATACAGTTTACAGAGTTTTTGCACAGCATTGAAAGTTTACAACGATTTTAGAAAGCTTTGGAATTTGACAAAGTTCTTGCAAAGTTCGGAATTTTCACAGTTTTTCAATTTTTACAGAGTCTACAAAGTCTCACAAAGTGTTTACAAAGTTTTCAAAGTTTTTACAAAGTTTACAAAGTTGTACAACGTTTTTACAAAGTTTACAACAGCTTTTTCAAGTTTACAAAGTTTTTACAAAGTTTACAAAGTTTTTACAAAGTTTACAAAGTTTTTACACAGTTTACAAGGTTTTTACAAAGTTCACAAAGTTTTTACACAGATTACAAGGTTTTTACAAAGTTTACAAAGTTCTTACAAAGTTTACAAAGTTTTTACAAAGTTTGCAAGGTTTTTACAAAGTTTTTACAAAGTTTACAAAAGTTTTCAAGTTTGCAAAGTTTTTACGAAGTTTACAAAGTTTTTACAAAGTTTACAAAGTTTTTACAAAGTTTACAAAGTTTTTACAAAGTTTACAAAGTTTTTGCAAAGTTTGCAAATGGCTGGTGAAAAACACTTGTGTTTACAACAAATGACATGAAAAACACTTCTTTTCAATTAAAAAATCGTGCAAAAACACTTCTTTCACAGAACTTTACAAAGTTTTACAAAGTTTTTACAAAGTTTACATAGTTTACACAGTTTTTACAAAGTTTACAAAGTTTTTACAAAGTTTACAACGTTCTGACAAAGTTTGCGACATTTGCCTTTTGTTACACAAATTTACAAAGTTTTTACAAAGTTTACAAAGTTTTGAAGATATTGGAAAGTTCACAAAGATTTTGCCAAGTTTACGAAGTTTTGCAAAGTTTACAGAGTTTCGACAAAGTTTACAAAGTTTTGACAACAATTACAAAGTTTTGATAGTTTATTTATTTGCAAAGTTTACAAAGTTTCTTTCTACATTTTACAAAGTTTTTACAAAGTTTGTACAGTTTCACAATTTGTACAAAGTTTTGAGGAAATTTACAAAGTGTTCAAAGTTTACAAAGTTTTCACAACGTTCACAAGGTCTTCATGTTTACAATGCTTTGACAAAGTTTACGAAGTTTAAAAACGTTTTACAAAGTTTGCAAAGTGCTACGAAGTTTATAACGGTCTTTTTTTAAATAGAGTTTACGAAGGCCTACAACATCTAAAAAATTTTTACAAAGTTTACAAAATGTTAGTACAAAGTGTACAAAGTTTGCAATGTTTACAAACTTTTTGACAAAGTTCACAAAGTTTTGACAAAGTTTACAAGTGTTTTACAAAGTTTTGACAAAGTTTTCGCATTTTACAATTTTTTACACAAAGTTTTCGCAGTTTTTTACACAGTTTTACAAAGTGTACAAAGTTTTTACAAAGGTTTACGAAGTTTAAAGTGTTTCAGTGTTTAAAAAGTTTACAATTTTAACAGCAGTTTACGAAGTTTTGACAAAGTTTGCAAAATTTGTTCAATCTTTACACAGTTGTTGCAGAGTTTTGAAAGTTTACAAAGTTTTAGAATTTCACCAAATTTTCTACAAAGCTTACACAGCTTTTACAAAGTTTACAAAGTATTTACAAAGTTCTTACAAAGTTTACAACGTTTTGCAAAGTTTTCAAATAGTAAAGTTTACAAAGTTTTGACACAGATTGAAAAAACCGAAACTTTGTAGAAAGTTTGTAAGCATCAAAAACTTTTGTAAAAGCTTTGTAAAAACTTTCAAACTCAATAACTTGGTAACAACTTTGTAAAATTCCAAAACTTGTTCACAGCTTGATAAATGTCCAAAGCTTTGTTCAGATATCTAAAGGTTCAATACCTTGTAAAAACTTCGTAGTTCCAAAGTTTTGTAAAATTCAATGTACTGTAAGTGTCCAAAAACTTTGTGAAGTTTGTTATTTCTATCTTTAAACTTTGTAGACTTTGTTAAAACTTTGTAATGCAAAAACTCGGTAAAAAATTGTAATTCCAAAACTTTGTCAAATTTTTGTAAAGATCCAAAACTTTGTAAACACTTTGTAGGAAGTTTGTTTGAAGACCTGCGAAAGCTGTTCAAGAAGAGCTGATCTTTGGATTAGTGAGACTGCTTGCATTTTTTGTTAAAAAACGGCATTTGGTGCTTGCGCTTTGGGAATTTGTGACTGATGGCTGTAGTGTTTCAGGGTATTGAGGGTGAGAAGAAGGGTCGAATGGTTATTGGTTGTGCAAGTGTTTTAAGACTTGGCCACGGAAACACCAAAACACTTCTTTCATTTTTTCCAAATAACATTGGTGCAAAACACTTCTTGCGAGCAAAAACACTAAACTCAAGCAACTTAACAACCAAAGATATTACAGCGCTTACTTGCTATAATGCGGTCTGCGCTCGCCACGTGCCATCTCAGGAAATGCATGGCTACATGATGATGTTTGTCAGTGATGACTCAGGTGATCTTGGGGACATGGGGCATCCTGCTGACATAGTGCCAAGCCACCTTGGGGGAAACCCGGAGACTTCGAGGGTGAACCTCCAAGACATTGAGCATAGGTACCGGCTATATGAAGAGAAACGTCGCAGCACCGTTCTATTCAAGCCTTCAGAAAAGTTTGCCACGGCCTCAAAACACAATTGACAATTGCCTCTCACCCATGGAAACTCATCACTTTATTCACCACCCCACATTGAACTGTTGCAGGTCTTGGACAAATCAATGGAGAAGGACACCCTGAAGCTTCCGGTAGCTGCTTTGAAGCCCCCTCCACAGAACTTATGAGCAGTTTTTAGTAAGCAGTTTACATGTGAGCAGTTTATATCATGTCAGGGCTGTTATTGGGCGTTTTGCTTGGTCATTGTCATTGCGTGAGGTTTCAGATGCCACCGGATGTAATGCCTTGCGCCAGGGATTGGATCACATGCTGGGAATCCATGATCACAGCAGGAATCGACCTGGGACGAGAGCCCATCAGTGTAAACGTCCCATACTCAAGACCTGTCTTCAAAGCAAGTGGTGTGCGGCTGTTGTGTTGATTTGTGCTTTACCATTCACCCGCCCTTTTCCTAGGTTCCTTTCCCAGATGGTTGTGAATCCTTTTCCAAATTGAACAGATCAGAAGCAGTGAAATGTATTGATGGCAGTTTGGGTTTATCATCCATCGCTGTGTACATGGGTTTAAGGTCCGAACATGACCCTATGCAACGCGAACTTGGACGTCATCAAAGGAATCACCAAAGCAAGCTGCATTTGCTGGGTGCTGATGGCTCTTTGCGAAGTCGGTTTGGACAGTGAATCGTTCATTCCTTTCCTGGACAAGTGTTGGCTACTTCCAATGCACCTCAGCATTGACCAGTCCGCCACGGACATATCGTTGATGAACATTACTTTGAGCTACCGCGATTCTGAACGACAATGTCCATCCGTTTTGAGTCTGGCCCTTCAATTCAGTCACATCATGAGCTTGAAGGCCAGCCAGGGGCTTCACGACAAGGCCATGAACACTGAACAACGCCTGAGGGCCGTTGTGGACGAACTAGAGTCCTCACCAGGCTTCATTGCGAAATGGTCTGTGAACAACGAGAAGTTCCGGGCGATCCACAGCATACTAGTCGGAACTTCGGCCAAGAGCAGACAGGTGATTCAAGGGCACCTACATGTCCACAAACGGGCATTTTCTGCGTTTTCTTCGGACTTACTCCGGAGTTGTCGCTGGCTCAGAAGACCGTTCTCACCATGACAGAGGAGTCATAAGTGTGGTTTTTTGCAGAACCAAGTTTCAACTTTTCGCCAAGACACCCGAAAGGGCAAATTGCGGCCTTCGCTACAGGCCTGGGGCCGGGCTGCGGACTACACCTGCATCATTTATGAGGTCGTCAGGCAGGCGAAGGGTTCACTCCAACGATGAAGCAAAGTCCAAAGCGGCGCAACACCAATTGTGGACCGCTTTCATGGCCAGGTGGGGTTGGCTTGATGGGGGCTCACCCCCCAAACCATCTCACCCCAGCCCCTCCCTCAAAACAAACCCGTCCCAGCAGATGGTCTGATGAGCTTTAACAGCCCTGGAACCCCACGCTAAAAGAGGTCCGATAATTCACAAATTTGGTCCATTGGTGCGTTATATTTTTTCCCTCGTTTACGCCAGGGACTACTACCAGGAAGTGCTCAGCTGTGTCGATGTGGCCTTGGGGAATTGGTGTGGACTGAGATTGTGGAGGTCGACAAGATTACCATGGGCACGGAGGAGATCTCAGAGTTCGATTTGGAAGCTGCAGAGGAAGCTACAACGGCTGCAAAGTACCAAGAGATCCGTTCCAAAATTGCGTGGCCCAGTTGCAAACCACAGTCATATTACATGTTTCAAGGGCTTTGTCTACTTATGTCTACTTGAAAGGGTAATCCAACTAATATGTTTGTTACAATATGGAAGGGTAGGTATGCCACGGTATGCCATATATTGAGTAATTCACACACCTGGTTTGACTTTATCTCAGGATCGTGGAAAAATACATGGAGAAGGCGTGCAACATCAACTTGGTGTCCGATATGTCCTCGATCTCAAAAACTTGGACGCCTGGTTGAGGCAATCAGCAATGGATCTAAAGGCTGGGCAGGCCAACCATATACAGTAGGTCAAGATCCCCGTTAACATTCCAAGGAGACCTTGTGCAAAACATTTTGTAGATATAAATCTGCGGGCACAAAACTTGAGTCTATAGAAAGGGCGGGGGTCAAGACACTCAGGCTCTATACATGTTCTCTCAATTGCCTTGCAGCTCCTTAACCATAGTGATTTTTACAAAATGCAGGGTGTCTAATTTAGTGCCCGCATAGGTTCTCTACAAAAAATCGCCCGTATACGGGGCGTACGCCCACCCATTTCATAGAGGAAATGTCGACGGGGATAGGTCAAGGGTGTATAGTAACGTCGGTTGTTCTTACAACCTGTCTTCACACACCCCAACAGTCCGTCCACTTTCCCTGCCAGGTCAGGCCAGAAGACCTTGAAGTCATTGTAGTCACGAACTACAACAAATTAAAAATTCTACAGGTCCCTATACTAAATAAACATTCCTCGCTTATGGCCAAGTGCATAGACCGCAACCAGAAAAGTGACTCTTCTGCGAACACGCTTTCCTTTTTTGAGTTTAAAAACTTCGAAACTACCCTGCTCGGTTTGAAGCAGCTGGCCTCTCATCTTTCCTCAAGATCCTCTGCTCGTTGAGCCAACCAACAACGGGGCCAGGACCAACCCAACAGAGCATAGAAGGGTCCATCGGGAAAAAACACCGTAACATAAACCAAAAACACGAACCAACACCGTAACAAGGGAAAAAAAGGAAAGCGTGTTCGCAGAAGAGTCACTTTTCTGGTTGCGGTCTATGCACTTGGCCATAAGCGAAAAATGCTTTTTCAACATAAAAACCTACAGAACTCCCAACTTACTATAGTCCGATGTCTATCCATTGGTACCGACCAAAGGCAATTGCATCGCAACACTGGCCGACCGGCCTACTTCCGTGAGTGACTGGCGGTAACTGACAGCATGTTGCCGCCAAAAGGAGCGGGCCACAGGGCTACTAGGTCAGAAGACCCCAAAGAGATGTACGCGGCTGTGGTGAATGACTTCACCAGCAGTGATTGATGGCGATGTCAGGGCTTGACTGAGGCCTTGCCCCGGCTTTGTCAGAGGCATCTTTTCATCTACCAGCGAGCAAGAGCTACCTTCAATCCAATGATACGCGCAAAAACATGACTGATCTTCAGGAGACGTCACGATGGCTCGCTGGGGAAGACACATGAAAGAAGATCCTAGAGAGTTTGCTGAGCAGCAGCTTTGACTCGATTAGCTGTTCAAATCTTTTTCCCTTAAAACCTACGTAACTTTTGATGGTTAATAATAGTTTTTTGGTGCTAGAACTTATTCTTTGTTTTTTGCCTGGCAGCCAGGTGGTGGCAAACAAAAGCGTGCGGTGGTGATTCTCACACAAATGTGTATTGCGGATCGCTGGAGCGAGCTTGCTTGTCGATGTGTATTCCATGCCTTGCCCTGACGGACTCACCGAATAACCACAACTACGCCATTACGACCACCGGCGCCAAGTTGATCGAGGACAACGTTGAAACTCCTAGACATATAACTTTACTATTTTCTTGACCCTTAGTCCCTTTGTGCAAACAGCTGTCTTTTTAAATCTGGGGTGACCGGTTCATTCACCCTTTGGCAAGTAGTGTTCTTCCAGTCATGTTCAACAAAGTCAGGACTGGTGATCTGGAACTGGCGTAGTTGGAAAGCTCACCCCGAAATACAAAGCCAACCCGGAAGATGACAACCCGGTTGTGGCCGAGCCACCTGCTCTGGCAATTTGCCTAAGCAGTGATGATACCTTGAGCATTCCACCAGCCATTCGTACCGAGTGTTTGGGAGACCCCCATCACGCACCAGAATGGAGGCGGCTTCTTGAGGAGTTTGATGCAAAGTGGAATGATTGCCCAAATGCCAATCAAAGCCCTTCCCGGCCCGTAGAGAACTCAGACAGGTGATGGTGCGGCTGACCAACCTGCGATTGCGCAGCCCGGAGACTGGGACCAGATCTTTTCTGGGGAGCCTACAACCAAGGCAGACTTGGAGAAGATTGGATCTCCAGCTCATTCATTCACTGTTTCCTCCACCTGTGTGGGTCAAATCTATGAAGGACCTAAACTCTTCTTGGTGAGCAGTGGGGAAACCGAGTTGACTCGCGACGAAGCGATCTTGCGCTTTGGTGCGGGGACTTGGCTCTTGATGCAAAAGCAAGCGCTTATGCTCAGGAGATGTGGGGGGCCTTGTGTGGGGATACTGTAGCTCTTGAGAAGTGATATTTAAGGGCAGAGTGTTGAATGGTAAAGAAGCCAACTCGCCAACTGTGGTTCCTACATGTTTGTTCAGTCTTGTTTACAAGCCGCCCACGCTGGAGAACCCAGGCAAAGGTTTCTCTTTATGCTGGAATCTGATATGGACCTGTGCGTCCTTGAGGACCGTGAACATGGATGTTTTAAAACTATGACTGTCGCTTTGCTTTATTGTGGCCCACCCAAACCCTAACCCCCCTCTAGATTTCGACAACACACCACCCTTGCCTCCAGGACAGCTCTGGCCAGGATGGCATCTTGCTTCCGCTGAGGAAGGTCCTGCCGGAAGTGGAGATCACTGGGCTTGTGGAGTTTGAGTTGACCATGTCCGCCCTGCCGGAGTGGCTCAGGGGACTGAGCCTGATGATAGGTGAGAGGTTTGTTTATCCAATTATGACTCATGACAGTTGTTCAGTACCCATTCCCAATTTACAAACACGTTCTTCACGCCCGATTCCCTTCAGATTTGAGATCAGCCGAAAGATGGGACATCGATGCTGTGGAAGCCTTCCAACGTGCAGCTTCGCATGTCAAGCAAAAGAATGCCGGCTCCTACTTTTGACGCTAAGCACATCCAGTCTTCCAAAGCACTTCAACAGGCCTGCACGCTTTCAGTCCAACCCCAAAACTGCTACAAAACCAACATGTTGTTTTCCATGTTTCTCCTAATGGCCATGTGTTTTTAGCCCCTGCAAGGTGTGGCGGCTGAGGGTGTGCAGGAATGAGAAGATGCTAGGAGCGGCAAAGCCGCTGCTCTTTTGAGCACCAACTTGAACCTGGCACAAGACAAGTGCCAACGCATTTTGTAGGTTTTGACCCCAGGGAGGGGGCCTTTAGTCGTCTAGGATACTCACCAAATCTCACCAACCATATTATTTAGCTTACTTGTTCTGATTGTCGTGGTTCCACTAGCTGCTGAGGGTCAAAGTTCAAAACAAAGAATTGTGGTGCAGGGGGTGCGAGCATCGAAGCGGCGTTGGCCAAATCCGGGCTGAGAGAAAGACTGATGTCGGGACGGTCGGCTTCAATCTACTATCCAATTGCATTGATTCTGGTTTCAGCCCCTCAACATAAAATCAATGCGCCAAACCCAGTCTAGCGCATTGAAAACCTAGGGTTTTGAAGCCCCTGCATTGATTTTGTTCTTGAGTTCGCAAAGGCAAAACATTGCACCCCCCCAAAACCATTGGTTTTCAATGCACCAAACCTGGTTTGGCGCATTGATTTTGTTTTGAGCTTCTCCAATGAGAATCAATGCACTCAGGTGGTTTGACGAATTTTCGCTGTCTCTCCAAACATCTGCATACCTTCAAAGTCAATGCACCATTCCCAATTTGGTACGTCGATTTTGTTTTGTTCAACCTACTGGGTACACCGATTTGTTGGTGTGACCAACCCTGGGTGCACCGATTTCTGGCTTCGTCCATCCTAGGGTACACCGACTTTTGGTGTCACCAACCCTGGGTACACCGATTTCTGGTATAGTGTACACCGACTTTTGGTGTCACCAACCCTGGAATGCATCGATTTTGTGAGTTTCATCCTACAAGACATGGATCTTCTTCAGTAGTAGGCCACATATGGCCAGGATACTTGCCAGGATTCATGAATTGTTCGTCAGCAACTCCCAGCCTAGCACGCCAGCCACAGGGTGGTGTGCTTGGAGAAGGGAATTCAATTATCTAGAAACTCTCACTCCTCAGCCTGTCCCGGACTGAAGGGCGGCCTTCCAGCGCTGCAGCTTCGGACTTGCAAGCGCCGGCAGGGCACCTTGGCACACGGGCGGATGAAGGCTTCAAGGAGGAACCCCGCTTCGCAAGACCTTTGAGTTCCAACCTCCGAGACTCCCCCATCTAAACAAAAGAAGACAGTAAAGATCGGTAAAGCCTCTCCATCCGCAAATCTGTTAAGGCCCGACGCATACTAAATCTCGACAGTAATGTACAGCATATGGTATGTGCATGTATGTTCAATTGGTAAAAAATGACTCATCCAAAGGTGTCCGGGGGCAACTTTTTCACAAGGGCAGCTGCAAGTGCTTGCAGAAACTAATTGGCAGCTGCTGTACCTGGACCTCCTGCCAGCGTCAAATTGACTAAGCCTTCGATAGCTCGATTCAATTCAAAGCTGGCACTCAGTTACTCGCTCCGCAGCCTCTCGCATGTTGGGCTCATCTGGATCCATAATCACGCTCCAACCTGAGCCCGCAGAGCCACCACCTTCTTCAACTTCTTCAGCAGAGTTGCCCGAGCTGTGAGCACATGCAATCGAGCACTGCTGCGTCCAATGCTCCCGAAGCCGGATCATAAGTTCCCCCTTGTGACTAGCAGAGGTGTCCAACCCATGCTTCTGGCAAAGGATTTTCAAGTCACTTTGGTTCTGTTTGTCATACCAGTGGTAGGTTCCATCACATGGACTGATCCACGAACAAACCTACGAAAAAAACACATGTTTCAGTTCTGTCACTGTCAGGCCGTCAAGGTTGGTGCGTATGTTCTCAGGCGCACTTGACAACAGAGCCTTGATCAACTCAACTTTAGTGGTTGGTATGTGAGGAGCCGTAGCCCGCTCCCGCATATGAGGAACCTTCTTCGACGACCAACAAACGCCGCGCTGGTCCATTGCCATGAGAACCAGAACTACTTGCAAGTCAAACTGTTGTCTACTTGACTGACCTCCTCACCGAAAGCCGGGTGCACACGTAGTACATTATGTACTTCGTCTTTGAGTGACTGAACAGTTGGAATTCCCCTAAAACTGTATCAAAAAGGCAAAGTAGCACCTTTCTTCACTGTCCCTGAGCTCCGAAGCTTCATCGTCCCTTAAGGACACGAACACATCAACACGTTATAGGTTGCGGACTCCACCAGACGCAGCCCTTAGGGGAGCGGAAGGTGCAAGTGCTGCCAAAAACGGTCGGGGGCAGTTTGTAAGTTGGTTCTAATTCGGATGGCTGTGTCCCAGCCAGAGAATGCCAAGGCAAAGCAGGAAGCTCAGCGCGCAGGTAGAAGTCGTTTTGTGACAAACGTGTTGAGTACTCCACACACTCCTCATACTCTGAGCCAGATTCCTCCTTCACAGCTGCTGCCAGCCCCGCGCACTGGTCTCGAAAATTGGCCGAGTAGTTGTTCGGATGCCTTGGACCACATGTTTGTCAACTTTTATTCGCATCCCATATCGCCCCACTAACAAAAGCATACTTACTGTGCAAAGTATTGTCACTCCTCCGTTGGCACTAGGTTTGCCACCTGATTTGACCGGCCAGCTGTCAACACCAAAAGGGGGCGTTGCGAAAGGGTTTGACTCGCGATGTACTGCTTTACAAGGATCACGACGTCATGAGGGTTGGGCGCAGCAGTCACGCTTCCCTGATCGATATTGCGTTGAAGTTGTTCTGGAACATCTTGCCAGGGAAGTGCTGTGAGAGCAGGCTAGACCTACACTAGAGCTTTACACTAGCGCTGTGTAAATTAATTCACGGTTGAAAACAACATACTAAATTAGATTTCAACTTGATGTGGGAGCCTCTATGCGTCATAGTCAGGAAGGTATGGTTGGCCTTGGCGTCCTCCAGTAAGCCACCGGCTAGACCCACTTTCTGTTCACAGCAATGGTTTCGCCGCGACCTGACTTTGTCCACCTTGACAACCTTGATGGCTGCATCAAGACCAATAAAGGAATGCACCCCGAGACGGTGACATCTTGAAGGATACGAAGGACAGAATTTGCAGACAAAATTAGGTCCGATGCCGCGACCCTCCTCGCATTATACCCCACGCTAGATCCAGTTTATCATGGGTATGAGATTTGCGAAGGTTCAGGAGGCCGGCCATCCTAAACTTGTACTTCTGGATCATGTTGAGGAAAGTACAAACTGATTTTTTGCCTCTATGACAGTATTGTCAGACACGAGAAGCAGGGTTGTAAGCATTTCCACACTCTGTCGATCACGCAGCACTTTAAGATCTTCCAATGTTTGCGCAACCATTTCGCAAATTGCTGAGCTGTCGTGATGTGTACATTCGTCGAGGAGAAACAGATTGAATGTGAAGCCTAATGTGGATAAAATACAACACAAAGATGTTTATTGAAGCTAACATAAAACACTATAACAAAAAGAAGGAAAGGAACAATTGCTGTGACAAAGGCGCCCATCGCCCAGCATCCGTGTACCTTGAAGGATGGTCTTTGGCGCTTACTCCTAGGCAAGTGAGCGTATGATGCGCGTCACGCGTCATGTGTGTACTGTGCACCTTTAAAGCAAAAGTCTATTCAGTTTTGCCTAAAGTCAATATCGCACTGGCTCGCAGTCCAGGGTTGCGAGGGATCGAAAATTTGTTCTGATCCGTACCATCCAAAAGGATCGTAAGCACAGTGCTGGATTTATCTTTCGACAAGCCCTGGAGTCCCCAGCAGGCACTGCGATCAGCGTATTGGTCTTGTAGGTGCCTTCTGTATGTTGAAACCGTTCCCAATTTGACATCTAAAGGCGCTTTGCTGCTCAACTGCTTCGTCAATTACAAGCAAACAGTGCAATGGGTGAACCTGAGTTGCTAGGAGCATACTAGCTGCAAATCATACTACCCAGTGTTGGGCGCTTTTAAAATTGATTTTCGCATCGCTTGGACAAGGGGCATCGAGCGCTGTCAAAACTTAAGAACGTCTTTCCAGCGCTCTTGGTACACCCGGAGAAATGTAGATTATCTCAGTATGTTTGTAGAGGTTTGCATTTATATACTGTCAGTTGTCGTGTCTCTTGCTCTCGCGCAAAAAAAGGGTGCGGCCAAGTGCACGAGCATGCCTTGGGCCCAATGAGTGTTCTTGTTGCGGAATAGTGATGGTACAGGTCCTGGACTGTGCCAGGGGCATAAACTTGCACGTTTTCTTGTCGTCTTCTCCCTTCAGCAGCTGCCATTATGCTGGAGAGGACCCGCTCTTGGCGTTGAATTGTTGTCATCTTAGGAGAAGTGTCATTTGCAAGATGACTGTAGCGAAGCCTTCCTGACCCGTGTAAGTGGCAATGGAATGCACCTGCCGAGTGTTGGCACGACGCTGTTGACTCAGATCCTTTGCCTCGCTGACAAGAAGGGCGGAACGGGGCTTAAAGGAAGTATCATATTCAGTTGCCATCGTAGTTTTTATTTAGTTGGCCAGGGTGCAACACCCTCCATAATTTGCCGAAGCTCACCACCTTCAATCAATCTGGTAGAAAGAAAAGTTACGGTTTCTAGCTGCCAAGTTGTCCTGATCTTGCCGCGTCGTCTGCGCGTGCGTCGTCCGTGCACCGCAGGCCACCTGGCCTGATCCAGTCAGCAAAGTCAGCCAAGCGCCAACCTCAGAGTCACGGGATGTCACGGGTCCCAAGACACCTTGATTTCCGCTCAGCATTGCTGGCTCCTTGATCTCAAGATTGCATGGCAATCAACCACGGAGCACCACGTTATGTAAAAAAACACATGTTGAATCTGACTAGGCTTCTGTTCAGCAATTATCGATGAGTTTGATGCCATACCATACCTGTTTCATTGCATTCCGCTTTGCACGGCCATGCGGCCATTTGGTGCAGAGGGCCCTGAGAAATCTCAGCGCCAGACACCAAAGGGCGACTGCGAAGCGCTTGTTCCAGGAACCAGCTCAGCCAAGAAGATCAGTTCACGCCCCTTCGGACCTGAACCTGAGGAAGGGAACCGTCAGGCTAGTCAGTCTGTTAATGGAAGACTCGAAGAACCCAAATGCCATTTGGTGTAGAACTACCAGAAGCAGACTCCGAGACTGAAAGCTCTGCATCTGATGAAGCGAGCGCGCAACCATCAGTTTTCAACTTTGGGTGGCGCAACATCCACACAGCTGCAAGGGCAAGGTTCTCTTCAGAAGTTGCTGCTGGGCGGCCGGCAAAAAAGAAACGGCCGTATGAAAACAGCAGGTGGGCTGCTGAGGCGACATACACAAGGGCCTCCTCTTCAAAGACATACCTGCCGAATGGTGTTTATTACCCCCAACGCATCACGGGGGTGTTGTCAAAAGAAGAATGCAATTGCGCCTTGTATCAAATTGGGCTCGCAATAAAAAACTTTTGGTTTCTTTGTCTCTATGGTCTACCTATAAATACAACTTTATTGGGCAACCCAACCAGGCGCCAGGAAGTTGTGCTTCGGCCAATTTGACTTCAAGGAGCTCTCAAAATTCCTGGGTGAGTTTTGGTCAATGGGGAAATCTGACCAAGACTCTTTGGAATCTTGACACGTCTATAAACTTTTTGGTAAGAATCTGTTGGTGCGATCCGGCCATCTCCACACACCGTCCCAAATGTTACTTTTGAACCCAAAACCAATTAGCCAAGATTCAGCAAGATGTGGAGGGCACCGGTACAAACATTCAATCGTGTCAGTTTCTCGGGAAAGAAGTCGGGCTGCGGTGCATGGCTACCTTGCTTGGTGTAGGCCAAGCCCGCTTGCGGTCATGTGCAACCAGCACTCCTGACCTACGCTTGGGATCCACACGGACGGGGGGCAAACAGAATACTTGGTCCATTGACGCTTTCTTCACAGTGATCTGCCAGCAAATTGCCGAGACTCTCCCAGATCGGTTGGGGTTGGATAAACAAGTTTTGCAAGCTTGTGACACTAGCGGGCGAAACATGTCTTTTAAGCTTCAGGGATCCAGAGTCAAGGCCAGAGTCAATGGCAGTTGTAAGTTCCTATGATTGCCCCAACAAAAACTTGCGACTTAGGAGCCGCTCGCCCTGCTGTGGCTGCTGGTCCCCATACCGGATACACGAAGGAGAAGAGCTTCTCCTTTCCCGCGTAGCACCGCTCCAGCGAATCCGACCTGGGGCGATGAGAGAGTGCTCTTTATGAGGTACACTAACCATGACAGGTTTCACAAAAGGAATTGAAGAAACATGGCAACATGTATACTACAGGGCAAGTCAGGACACCAAAGAAACCCAGCGCTTGTAGCAAATCACAGCGGCCACGTCCACGAGAAACCGCTTGGCTAAGGTCAAATACCGTCTTGTTTCCACCCTTGATGCGCCGGTAGTTGGCGAGGGATTTCTTCATGGACCTAGACCCACAAACATGCCCAAAAAAACACCTTAGAGCTTTAAGTTGGTGTGCAGACCTCGCACTAAGGGTATGACGGGCAGTGATTTTTTGGGGGCGGGCCCAAAAAGGGACTTGATCTCATCAGGGGTGGAGATGGCAAAAGCTGTCGCTGGCAAAACGGGCACTGAGTTCTTGTCTGCCAACAGGGTGTCGAGGATCTGTTGAAAGCTCCAGTCCTGGGAAGAAAGCACGGTCTATATGAATTTGGGACAGGACCTTGGTAAACGCACAGGTGTTAACTGAACCTTTTCAATCTCACTCGCGCGTGACTGGTCCAGCATCTCTGGGTCATAGCCATTCATAGCCAACAACATTTTCATGGGCGGACGATGTGGCTTTGTTCATCGCGGCGGTTGCGACAGAATGGACTTGAGCTCGAGCCGTGTCTTTGAAACACAAGCGCTTCCCCGGCCTGGGCTGATAGGTCCTAGAAACCAGCTGCTCCTCTCTCGTTCTAGTAACTAGTATACATATATATATATATATCTTCAAAAATACACATAACTGTTTAGGGATATTTTTGCTGCAGGAAAGTGACCGGGAGAACAAGGTGCATGGTGCTCCCAACCAAAGAAGAACCCTTAATGCGTAGCGGGCAAAGCCTGTCGTGGCCAGCCTTCGATTTGAACCTGATGTCCTTTGGGTCCAGCACCTTGTCCTTGTCAATGGTGTTCTTGATCAGACTGAGAATGTCGCCAAACAAACAGGTGTCCGGGTACATACTCTTCAGCCAACCTTGGCATTGGCAATCGATTTCAACCTTAGTTTTGTTTGCATGGGTGTTGGTTCGGGCCACCACCAATGTTCAAGAACCAAAACATAGATATATTTCACAGACTTGGCACTGCGCCCACGAACTTCAAACCGCATTCGACACCCCACAGCTCCATGGCAGCTTGGGATATGTGCTCCCAAGCTTTTCGGGCGCAATCCACCCGGCGAAGAGCGACAAAATCTACTGTTTGCGTCTCGCATCAGTATTGCCTCCCAAATAGTGCTACGCAACGGCGGAGCAAAGTGAATGCCCAAGTCCTCAGATCAGGTTCACATACAGTACCTCTAAGATGAGTCGAGGCAGAACTCTAACTATTTTCATATTCTAAAAAAGTAGTCAAAATCCTAACTATTAGTTAGAATTAGGAAATAGACTTTCAAGGCAACTAGCAAAATAGACTATAGTCTATTTAATACGATATTATTCCTGGGCGATTTGATTGAAAATGTATATGTTTTGCTTGTGTTTCAGCTTCTGAGCCCTCTGGTTGATCAGCACAACTATATGCTTCACCCCAAAGAAGCAAACTCAAAATGCACTGTTTTCAACCAACCAAGCTGGCCATTTGAAGTGCCATGTTCTTTGGTTTCCTCCTCCTCCCCCTCTTTGTCATCATCCAAGTTCTTGTCACTCTTGGTCTGCCATTCATTCAGCTTGCCTGTCAAGCTAGGCTATTTCTTTCCACCCTTCTGCACAGGATCTGGCTTAGTGCTGGGCTTCTTTGTGACTTTTGGCTTGCTCTTTGCTTTGGTTGTGCCCTTCGTTTTTCCTTTGCCCTGTCCTTTTTCTTTTGCTTTCTTTATTGGGCTCCCCTTTTCTGCTTCAACACTTTCTTCCTTTTCTTCTTCCTTTGTACTTGCTGCTCTACTCTCTGCGTCATCCTTGTCATTGGGTCGAGATCCTGTGACTTAGCAGGTGTGACATAAACAGTTGCACGAACTATACATTCACAAGTGTGACCTAGCAAGTGAACTACATTGAGTTACATCCACAAGTGTGAGCAACATTCCACAGGCTTTGACACAAACCATGTAGGGTAAAGCAGTTGATGTGGTCTGCAAACAACTTTCCAACATATTTGCACAATGCCGATTGGAATTACCTTGGGCTATTCAGAAGTTGTTCAAGGTTATTTAACTGAATAGCCCAGAACATAGGATATCAAATAGCACAGGAATCTTAACTATTAGTCTATTCTTGTTTCAACTAATAGTTAGGATTTAGGATATTAGAGAATAGTTAGAATTCTGCCTCGACTCATCTTAGAGGTACATGGATTGATTCTTGGCTGAGTTTTTCTCGAAACAGTGTTGTAAAGTATACATGTTATCACGCATGTTCTCCAAAAAAGGTGTCGGCACTAAACTCCTTAGCGTCCCAATAACGCATCCAAGCCTCCCCAACTGCGCAGCAGTTTCGGGCGGCTGCAGAACCACTGTTTTAACAAACACAGAGGTTACAAAACACGGTGAGAAAGTTTAGTTGAGGCCAGGCGCTTGGGTGGACTCTGGGCAAGACTTTTGACAACCTTGACCTTTTTGCTGATGCTCGGCTTCTTCCTTGGTTGTGCACCAAGGGGTGATTGGTGAGGTCGGCTACGCAGGAGGAACGTAGTCAGGAGGAACATAATCGAAGATAAAAACCAAGAGTCTGAACGTAAGGTTTTCTCACCGGAGCAACCTTCTCAGTCAGGTTATTCTTCTCCTTCTGTCTGAGAAGAGTAGCCAAAGATTTTCCCATGGCTTGCCTATTCTGGCCACCTCTATCTAGCCCTTGCGCCAAAAAAACCTTCCAGTGCACAAGGTTCGCGCGGTCAAAACTAAATCACTCCAACCAGTTTCACACTCCATTCCCAGCCGTCCCAAGCTGGCCATTGGCAGGCCGCGGCAGTGGCAAGCTGCTGGCGGCAGCCGAAAAAAAGAATCCAAGCCTCAATCCTTGACCCAGATACCTCAAAACCAGACTCACTTGCCTTGACAATAACTTTTTTCCACTACAAACTTGCCACTTCATCAAGCCACAGCTCCCCGAGCTACATTTTTACCACAAAGTTGTCAGTTCTGAGGCCACAGCTCCGGGTCACTTCCGGCGCTACATGTCCACTACAAGGTTGCCAGTTGTGAGGCCACAACTCCGGGCCACTTCCCGCACTAGATTTCCACTACAAAGGTCAGTTCATCAAGCCACAGCTCCCCGAGTTACATTTGTACCACAAAGTTGCCAGTTCTGAGGCCACAGCTCCGGGACACTTCCCGCACTACATTTTCACTACAAAGTTGCCAGCTCATCAAGCCACAGCTCCCTGAGCTACATTTGTACAAGTACCACAAAGTTGCCAGTTCCGGGCCACTTCCCGCACTAGATTTGCACTATAAAGTTGACAGTTCTGGGGCGACAGCTCCCACAAGCTGCTGCCGGTACTACACTCGAACTACGTCCACCTTACTTTTCGAGAACAGTCGCGCACTTTGGCAATGCCCACCGTCGTTTTCGACGACAGTTGGAGGGCCACTCCGACGGCTCCTGTTCAATGGCGGAACCTGCTACCTATCAAATCTGCACGAGGACGCCAAAAAGCCAGCGATGCTGGAGAACTGAACAATCAATTGTTATAAAATTGTACATATACATACATATTTTTTGATTTGTATATATATATATAGGGATATCACAATAATACACTATATATGATACAAGCTGAATGAATTCGTGTCCCAAATCTCAAAAATCTCCAAGAACATCCTTTCAGTGCATGAGAATGAGAAAATGTAGTCGCGCATGCGCTTCCAACCGCTCTCCAGTGGCGCTTGCAAACGGCACAACTACGTGCAGCATTTTTGAGCTTCCGACATACTTCCTTTCAATCTGGGATAGGTGACAACAATAGGCGCCAACAGCATTCTGGCTGCTTCCACTGCGCCATCCCGTGCCAGAACCGCAGCCGCTTTTCGTCTCGTGGAACCAGTAGCCCTTGTAGTCACTCATCCAACCATGTGCACACTTGGACCATCCTGCATTGTTAAAATGAGCTAGCTCAAAAGAACATCTGGCTTTTCCTCCTGTCGCTTGATGGCTTATTACAATTACTGACTCATCTCCGTGAAGCTGCCACCGACCAAGCCTTCCACTTCAGCTTTGCTGCAGAGCCCTTGATACCCCACCGACTGGCACTTGCCTGTGGCTGCTTCTCTGGTGGCATAGTCGTAACCACCAACCTCAGCTCCCAACCCCTGTCAACATAAGCAAAGCTAGTGTTGAGAAAAGGCGTGGCATTGCAGCTGCGTGCTAAGGGGTTCAAAAGGTCGATGGCGGCACTCGAGGAAATCGTTTTGAGGGATGATCAACCGAGAAGTGTACCAAGTTCGTGCGAAACCAGAGACGAAGGGTTACCATAGCCCTTGTTTTCCAAGAGCGGTTGAAAAGACCGCGCGCGATTCTGCGGGTTTTAGAGCCCAAATTTTCCCTGAAAGACAACCCGGTATCGTCGCGCGGACGAACCGTGACGAACCGGTCGTTGGCTCCCATGGCGGCAGCGTCGACGCCGCCAGAAGGGTTCAAAGAGGCCGCTGCTGAGCAGCTGGCGCTGGAGGACGCCAAGGACGCCCTGGTGGTGAGGAGCGAGAATGCAAAGGGACCCCAACCATGGGCCGATGAAGAGGGTAGAGAGGGAGGGGAAGGGCGAGGGCACTGGAATGAGGGCATGTGGTCGCCAGGCACCTTCATGGAGGTGCAGGAAGTGCTCAGGGCGGTGCTCTCCCAGAATGCCTGGCTGAAGAGATTCAGGAGTTGAAAACAAGGTGGAATCAGTAGATTCCAAGGAGGTGAAGGAGCCGAATCCAACACCACCAACGACTATACACCACCACCTTCACCCCCAAAGGGGCCACCACCGAAGACCCCAGAACAGCACTTCGAGAGTCAGGCATGGGTCGACTGAGAGCGCGATTTCGTTGGAAGCCTCACCACGAGAGACATGATCCTCTCTCATCTCTCGAGGAGCGTCGTCAAGGAGGTGGATCGCAAGCGGCTTCAAGTGGACGGCCAACTATATGACCCAGGGACCTATCACACCACCGCCAAAGGACGACACCGACAAAGAGCTGAAGACCTTTCGGGAAGGCCTGTATGCCAAGCAAGCGCACGGAGATCGCTTGATCCCATCCAAGGCACCACCAATGCCCACAAGCACCCACTGAACTCTTTGAGGTGGAGCGCCAACCAAGACGGTCAGCGTGCCCGCTGCACAGATTGCAACCTGAAGTCAGTGATCTACTGGACCGCCAAGCATGGTGCTATGATGGTGGTCTTAGCTCATGAGAACCTCCGGAGGATGTTCCCATCACAGCCAAGGTGTGGGTTCCTGAAGACCCAAATAGCTATACCCTGGAAACCATCAATGCAGGGGGGCCGGAGAAGACCCAGGTGCTTCCGAGCGACAAAGACGCCAGAAGGACAAGTCATCAAGAAGTTGAGTGGAAGTGGGTATGCGAGAATTGTTGGAAGGCGGACCAAAGCACATCGTCACTGAGTTCATTTGGAGTCCCATCAGGTGGAAGCCATGACAGCCGTCCCCAGGAGACTTCCACCGCACCTCCAAACTCCAGGCTTGGCCATCGCTGATTCGGGTTGCCGCAACTCAGTTGGCGGGCGTCTACGGCATGACTCTTTCCAAGAAGAGCTCAAGAGCATGGGTGTGCCATGGCAGAGCACCAAAAAGCATGAGGTCTATCGTCGATCGTTTTGGAGCTGGAGCACCAGTGGTGAGTCATGAAGCCTTCCTCTACCCAGTTCGCATCCATGGACACTGGGACATCGTGCGAATGTCGTGCGCGAAGGAGAGGCACTCAATTGCCCTGGCTTGATTGGACCATCGGAGCTGAGTAGGTGGCAAGCAGTGTTCAGGTTTGGAGAACGCCAAATGGAGCCCCATGGTGAAAGTCGCCCGATGATCCTGACCTGGTCCCAGGCACCCACGTGTGAAGCTTCTGGACTATGCTTCAGAGGAGGTGAATGAAGAAAAGGAGGTCTGGGCATCAAAAGAAGGGAAGAGAAGGAAGCTCGCGCTGGAGGAGAACCCGCGCTCACTTTCCTTTGTCACTGAGCATCCCCAGTCAGAAGAGGACAGTGAAGGGGGTGGAGCAAGAGACAGAAGAAGAAGAGCAAGATAGGCCATTCCGTGACCGCCGTTTGATCAGCTGCAGAATGACTTGGGTGTGCGGGTGATGGATGTGGCGGACATCCCAGAAGGCAGCTCGGAGGAAGATCAAGCCACCATTGTTGAAGAGGCAAACTCGTCCTCATCACATGAGGTGGGAGTAGAAGGTCACGACTGATTCAGAAGATGAAGCCCAAGGCGAAGAAGACGCTGCACAAAGAGAGGAAGAAGCATGGCCAGGAGGAAGGAAGAGGAAGATGAACAAGCAGTTGCACATCTCACTGGTTGCCGCAGCACGGCATTGCACCTTCCATGAGCCAGTGACATTGCCCAGGTGGGACCTCATGACCTCATGAAAGAGACCAACTACGCTGAAGCACTCCGGTACATCGCGCCAGATTTACTGGCCCTGGCTTGGCCGTGTGGGCCATGGAGCCCCTTACCGACCTTGGGAAGAAAGACTCCACTTCAAAGGGCCCAGCTGGCTCAGAAGAGAGAGGAGAATCCCGTTCTGCTGAGGTTCGTGAGAGATGCCAGCTTGCAACAAAGACAAAGAGGTGGTGCCCTTCTGGGAGAAAATCCAAAACCACCCCTTGCATGGAAAGAACCACTGATTGAAGAGGCCTTTGCAGGAATGCCAACTTATGCTAACTTCAACCTGCGACATGTGCATGTACGGCCTGCAACTTCCAGATGGGCCGGCTCTACGGAAAAGTACGCGATTGGAAGGGACAGCTGAAATCATTGCCCGATGCAACAAGATGTGCAATGGACAGCGTGAGCACACGCCCGTTGTGGGAGGAGCCCGCATCGACGGGGTCTACACCGCCAAGTTCGCCAAAGAAGTGGTCCTGGGAGCAGAACAGTACCTCTCAGGACAAAGAAGAAGAGAAGTCTTCGCGGAAGGTGGAGAAGTCGCTGAGGAAGACTTGAAGAGTTCATGGAAGAATAAGAAGTGGAGGAGCAAGAAATGCAAGGCCTACAAGATGAGATAGGAGGAGGTGATGAGGAAAGGAAGTGCAGGCTGGAAAGTCGCCCAAGTGCACCAGCGACTTGGAAATCCAACAACAGCCACTTTGGTTCGGATGCAGAGCTTAGCAATATCGTTGACTTGGCCACCCGTTATAAGTTATAAGTGCCCGGTATGCACCACGGTGGCACCCCCTGACCGCTATCCAAAGGCGAACCCAAATCCAAGGCCGACCGCCTTTGGAAAAGAAGTCCACGTCGATCTCAAGTGCCTCCATGACCGTGGACAAAAGTTGCATGTGGCCCTGAGCATTGTCGATGCAGTTACCTCCTTTCATGTCGTGAACGAGTGAGTAAACAAGTGAGTGGCACGATAGAAGCCCCACCATATACATGCAGATGACCCGCACAAATCGAGAGCGCGCAAAAGCCGTATTGTTTCAGGAAAATGTCCTAACAAAAGTGTCAAGAATAGACACCATTGCTCTCGAACTGAAGTGTAAGCAACACTTGTCTCACGGATAAGTAGAACACGTTTCCTATCTAACACCCATTGTCCGCAGTGGGTTTCATCCTGCATTTGGTGCCGTGTCCAGCAAGACCATCGCCATCTTCAGCTTGTTTAAACCAAAATTTAAAATTATCCTGAACGCATGTAGTAGCTTCGAAACGCCACAATAAACGCCTGCTATTGTTTGCAATGAAAACTAACTCTGTACATCAACGGCGCCCAAAAAAATGCCAAGACACCAACACAAACCAATGAAGCATTACAGCACTTCGAGAGGACACTACCAATAATACCAAAGTGACTGTGTTCCTCTGATCAAACCCATCCGAAGCAATCAAAACCTCCAAAGATTCAGAAGACTTGAGGACTTGAGGGCAGTTTTTCCGCCCATACCTGGCCCGGACCAAATCCAAACCCATCAAAAACCTAAAAACACGTGGCAAATCAGGCAAGGCCTGCAAAAACATCGTGAGGATCCGCTCTGGGACCATTAATTATGTTTTACACCACGCCGCGCATCCCCATCCGTCTTAAGGCCACGCGGTTAGATTTCGTCACCAACCCCCGGCCTCAGTTGTGCCGTTCGAGTAGGCCCGAAAACTTCGAAGCTCTTGCAAGGCTTCACCGGCGTGGATTTTTTGTGTTTGGTTGGGGTGTATACTAACGTTGATTCGTTTCTTTGTTACGTCGGGATTCTCCATTAAATTCACTCATTCACTCACTCACTCATTCATTCAATCATTCACTCATTCAATCATTCACTCAATCACTCAGTCAGCCAGTCAGTCACTCACCCATTCACTCACTCAACACACTCATTCACTCACGCAATCTCACGCACTCACTCACGCACGCACGCACTCACTCAGTCACTCACGCACGCAGAACGCCACAAAACCAACACGGAACAACGTGAAATAGGATAGTCGACACAAAAGGACAAAATGGCCTAACAGTCTATATAACTATCTATACCTTTTGTCAGCTTTGTTTACTCCTATAAAGCTTGGAAACAACGCCAGCCCAGCGAAATTGGCGGCCGCCCTATGCAGCGGTCCAATGCAGCGCGACGGACGCGACGGACAATTCCGCACTCCTCCCATGCCGATTCGCGGGCGCGTGTGGAAACTGTCGAATCCGAAGCTGTCTCTTTCCACGGAGGCTCAGGAATGAAGTGAAGCCCTGGCAGTGCTTCGCCAATTGTTGCGGAAGTGTATCTCTCACAGTATCTCCAGGTGTGGAAGTCAAGCTTGCGTGGGAAGATCGAATCCGTCAACGAAAACATGCGCTGGCAACGCCAATTGGGGTTTTGAATGAAGCGCGTTTAAATTCAGGAGGAGTCTTAGTTCTTAACATTGTTCAACGACCATCCATCGTCACGACGCGCTTGATTCCTACTGCAAAATGCCGCGGGCGCAAACGAGCGCGGTCTTTGCCTTAGCAACTTGAGCCTACATGCGCAGGTCATGCGCACGTCTGGTGTCATGTTAAGACCCTGCCTTTCAAAGGCAGCTTTGTCAGAAAGTAACATTTGAACTCCTTCGGTGTTCACCATCTGGTGCACCTACTCAGTTCTCTGGCTCTGGCTCCTCTATTTCTTCTTCTTGCCGTTCAGGCACTTCTTCTTCTTCTTCAGCTCTTGGTGAGATTTCATCATCACCTTCACTTCTGCTTTCTCCTGGCGATCTATCGCCTTCACGTTCATCTGGTGGTAATGGTGGTCCATAGTGTGCCGCCACCCAACCATCTGGGCATTCACTTTCTCCCATTGGTATGTCCATCGGCTCATCTCGTCTTCGAACGTGGAACATGTATTGCCTCAGGCATCTCAAGTGATTTATCACCATTTTCCTTCCTTCTGGACCGCGGGCAGGTTCTCAGGCCTTCAGGTAGGTCTTCATCTCCAGGGTCCTCTTCGACCATGTGATTGAACTCTCTGATCTTCATGATCAGATACACCTCGATGCCTCTATCGATCTCAATCATCTCCGTTTTGTACCTTTCGTACTCTTCTCCTTCGAGTCTGATGTATTCATCTTCGCCGTCTGCCTCCAAGTGTTCAGCAAGGCTTCTACGGTCGGTGTTCACCTCGCTTTCACTTCCTTCATCTTCATCTTCTTCACTTGCAGACGTGTCCTTTTCCATCCTCACCATTCTCACACGCACTTCGGTCTCATGGGTGTATCCATCATCGTGTGTATAGGTGCTTCTTCTCACCTCTCGGTCTTGTTCTTCTGCCTCCTCTTCGATCTCTTCACACCATGGTGGGCCAACCACATCTCTGAAGCTTAGGCCGGAGTCTCCAGCCCAGTTGACCCACTGTCGAGGCTCTGTTTCATCCTCTGTTTCATCATTCCCATGTCTCGTCTGATGACCTGATGGCCAATTCGACCAATTCTGCAAATCTGTTGCTTCTTGCCATCTTCTGGGAGCGTTCCACAAACTCAAGTCAATCCTCTCTTGGTCTTCATCTGACGCGTAGTTCTCTTCTTTGCCAACTACATTGCGACGTGTGTCCCAAGAGTTTACATGTCTGGACAACGATGCTCAGGATCACAATTGCAATCGTTAGTCCCATCACCACTTGCTCAAGCGTCTCTGTTCCAGTGACCTTTCTCCCCAGCAGTCCATCTGGCTGAGGCTGTGGCTCATCTTCTGGAAAGCACTGATCTTGTTCTTTCACCGCAACCAGGCCCAAGGCTGAGTCTGCTAAAAGTGCTTCATTGTGAGCCGCAACAATCTCTTGGCCAACTGTGGTTCAACTGTGTTGACTTCTCTGGGCTCTCATCCTCTGCGCCGCAAACTCTGCTTTGCCTAGGTCGTTCTCCCCATTCGTGAAGCCGCTCAAGAACATCAACGTGTTCACTCTCTTTCCTGTCAACGACTTCGTGCCTAGGTCTGACGGGTTTGTGGCTGTGTCCAGCTTCCTCAATTCTAGATCTCTCCCTTGCCTCTGCTGCAACCATAGGAGTGGCCTGGCCCACTTAGGTGTTTCAACTTTCCAACACCTCCTCTCTGCGCTATTGCAAGGCTTGAACTGTTGTCATCGTAGACAACCAACACCACCTTCTCTTGGGTGAGGTGCTCAACCACCGCCTTCAGCGACAAACCTTCTGACGCACTTGACGCCAGCGCAACATACTCTGACTCCATGCTTGACAGCGTGATGTTCTTCTGTGTCCTTGCGTAGGCATGGATCCAGCTTCCAGCCAAGAAAATGTACCCTGATGACGTTGAGCTCCTTGTTGCCTTGTTACCTGACCAGTCTGAGTCGCAAGTGACTTCCAGCAACCATGCATCTTCCTTCTCCTCAAACATCGGTGCTGTTGTCAACCCTCTTGCTCTGTTCCTGAACGAGTTGTTGTTCACCTGGCTTCTCGCGACAACATGTGTGTCCATAGTCATTCTGGCCTGTCTCCTGCTTGCCATGTAGAGCAAAGTCCCCACCGCGGACCGGTAGGTTGTCCTCCTCTCATCATGCTCCATCGACCTCCACTGTTCCTGGTGTCTTTGACCATCTCAGAGGGCTCATCAATTTGACCAAGTTGTGGATGAACTTCTCGTTCACCATGATCTTTGTCGTCGAGGCATCCACATTGATGGTCCTCTTGAGGAAACTCAAGTTCTCACCCTCTTCGATTGACACCTTGTACCTCTTCATCAGGCGATCTGTGATCTTTGCGGTCGCTTCATTGGTCCCACCAATGATCATGTCTTCCGCATGGACCAGCAAGATCAACAGTTCTCCTCTCCACAACGTTTCACCTTCTTTGGCTGACTGCGCATCAGGTGGGCATCTTTCACAGCCATCGTGATCATCTTCCAGCCGTTGACTTGGCAGATCAGGCACCTTTCTTCGTGACCAGGGTGGACGGGTAAGGGAAGTCGAGAACTGTGGGAAGGAATCCTTGTAGGTCTTGGTGGCATTGCTCACTAGGAATGGCACTCGCCGATCTGTGGTCAAATGCCAACCTGCCACTTGAACTAAGTTCTTGAGCAATCCCTCGAACTCCATTGCGACTGCCCTCACCTGGTTCTCCTCTTCTTGCCGTCCATCTGCGGCCTCAACTGCTAGAATTCGTGCTCCAGCAATGAGAGAATTGTTCCTGAACTGCAACCCTTTGCTGAACATTCCGTGGGTCAGGCGAACCAGCAGCTTCCCCATGCCAGCAAAGGCTCTGGCACGTTTGACAGCGCAAAGCTCTCTCGAAGTTGCACCATCTGGCCCTCGTCGTCTCCGAGGATGATGTGCACACTGTGCGCCTGGCGCATTTATAAGCCTCCCCTCATGAGGCCTCCCTTGTCCCGGAGCGTGCTGGTCCTGGACAATGGCGGCCGACCAACACCTTTGAAGGACAGTGGCAGCACTGAAACGTCCGCTCCAGCGTTCAAGACGACCGTCACCTCAGGGTCATCCTGGATGCTCCTCACACTCGCCATCAGCGGACGCTCTGGCTTCCTCCAACATGAGTCAGGTCCTCGAAGCTTCGCTTCCAAGGGTGGCCCAATCCTCATCCTCATGCTCCTGCCTTCACCATCTTCACTGAGCTCTCTGCGAACTCATCCTCCTCATCACCCAGGATCACTGTTTCAACTCCCCTCACAGCAGGTCGAGGCCTGGGCTGTGCTAGCAGAGTCATTGACTGTCTGGGTGACTGTGCTTGTGGCATCACTGACCTGTCGCAGTGTCTTCATTGGGCATTCACTTTCCCCTTCCCTTTTCCATCCTTTCCTTTCTGCTGCTTGCCCTTGCCTTTGTTGTCGAAGCCTCCATAGGACCCTTGACCTTTGCCTTTCTGTTTTCCTTTCCTTTGGACTTTCCTTTGTCTTTTCCTTTTCCAATCCTGTCGATCTCCATGGGAACTGTCTCATATAGTCTTTGTTGTTGCCAGCTCTCTGTAGATGGCTCGCGGGCCCCAGGACGTGGTTGTCCTCTCGTAGCTCAACCTTCTCCCTTGCTTCCTTGTAACTTGTTGCATCTGTCATGTGCAATTGGAGGTGTTGAATGGCCTGTTGCTGAACGCTCACCAAAATGGCGCAGAGCTTTTCAGACCTCTTCTTTTCTTCTTCACTCGTTGCTGCCATGCTCATCGCAGGCTCTGAGCCTTCAACCGCTTCCAGCTCCTTTTCATAGGTGAAGGCTAAACGGAGGGTGTGTGGAGAAAGGGGGGCAGCAAAAATCGCTTATACGAAGTTAGTGCACCAAAAATAGCTTCCACGAAGTTCTGCGAAGGTTTCTGGGATTTCGTCGCAGTCAGTTCTCCTACTGGCCCACCATTCCACGAACTGTCCACGAACAGCCTTGGGTTCTACGAAGGTCACGCGCCTTCCACGACGTTAGTAGAATAGGTTTTTGCAAAACCCTTTCTGCGGACTACCCTTCCGTTTGCCTTTGAACAGGCCTGCCCTGCAAAACAAAGCCATGACTTGAAGCTTAACTTCCAGTCTTGCCACTGACTGAGCTCTTCTTCCATGTTTGCTGGGCTGAATGGCTCTGGTGCCTTCACCACTTTTGAGGCTGTTGCAAAACCTTTGCCTTCCTTTCTCTCAGTCCTTTCTTTCACCTCTTTCAACGTCCTAATGGCTTCTTGAGCCTCTTTCCCCTCTTTTCTTCTTTTCTCTTCTTCTTCCTTTCTCTTGGCCGCTCGGCCCTCCCTGGATCTTTCACTCGGCGCCGGGGGTATCTGTTCCGAGCCCCCCCGGTGGCTCCGCTACCATGCAAAATGCCACGGGCGCAAACATGTGCGGTCTTTTCCTTGGCACCTCGAGCCTACATGCACAGGTCATGCGCACGTCTAGTGTCATGTTAACACCTACTGTCATGATTGTAGTCTGGCCAGTGATGTTATCGATGTGACGCGCGCCCCCATGTGGGCAACTCCCTGGTCAGACTTCTGGGGCCCCTGTGATGTGATTCTCAAAGCAACTATGTACCTCATCACAGCCTCATGTAGCTTTGGATTGTCCAGTCCAATTTGCTCTGTTCTAAAGCGATCATATCATATTTGCATCTGCTTTGATATTTTGTCTCTAGAAACATATCCTTTTCTTTCATCCTCTGAAGCCTCCGCCCCTCCATAATTACTTTTGTCAGTCCACATGTTGTTCTAGAAAACTTGAACACATCTTCGCAAATTATTTGTTCTTCTATAGGGGTCTCTCTTCTTCGTTGCAAAAAAGGGTCCATTTCATCGGTTTCTCACGGTTTTTCATTCAGGGCCCTTAACTTGCGCAACCGTGACTCGGGCAACGTCTACCACATATATATATATATAATTATAAACGCGTCACGTCTGCACTTTTCTCGGAAGCGCCACGCGACATGACTCTGGTCCTTGAGTCACTGGGCTGGATTACAAACATTACCAACACGTACTTGTCGCTGCAACGTGTTACAACATGGCACCCCATCCGCAAAAATTTCACAATAGGTAAAAAACGGTCTCAAAACCAACTCGCGCAAGGCTAAACCATGATAGGATCCATCTCCCTCAAACTTTGACAAGCGCATTCACTGACTGCGCAACGGTCACTGGGCTCCCCACATATTCTCTCTCAATGGCTGCCGCTTGGTGACAGCAATAGGCACCAACAGGATTCCAGCTGCTTCCATCGCGAAAGCCTATCCCTGAACCACAGCCCTGCAGCGTCTGATGGAACCAGAAGCCCTTGTAGTCACTCATCCAACCAAAGGCGCAAATCGCATAGCCTGGAGCTGTTTCCGCGACAGGTTTCTGAGTCAGACTGAGTGCGATGGACTGATGACATACAAGGAGGGGGATGGCAAGCGACAACTGCAAATATATAAGGAACACAAGAGCATAACGCGAAAATCGCCAGGTTTAGTTTTGAACGGCAGGAGAGGACAAGTGAGAAATTGTGTTGTGTTTGTATTGTGTTTGTCTCTGTCTCTCTCTCTCTCTCTTTCTCTCCCTGCCTCCTCCCTCTCCCTCCCACCCTGAAAACCACCAGAACGCGTCTCTTTTCCAAGTGCGTACTCGGGCCACTCGGGCCGTTTCAAGCAAAACCACAAGTGTCACATGTGGAATGTCTAAAGTCTCTGACGCCCCACCTAAAAGTGCCGATGTAGCTCTATCTAAGCGGCGCCATCTCTGAAGTACGCCAATCCTTCTCCTGCCGCAACAATCGTGAATGCGCCGTAGCCTGTGCGCTCGCTCTTCTTGGTTCCAATTCAGCATGTAGTTGAAAGCTATGCACGGTTGCCTTGCCATGTGGGTCAAAGCCCAGTCTCGTCTTGATGTACTCTGTCAGGATGTTCGGTTGGAAGATGCCTAGCTGTCTCACCTTCCTTGCTCTTCGTTCTTCACGGCTTCCTGTGCCGGAAGAGGTTCCAAAGTTGTCCCAAGTCCACGCCGGGCTCCTCTCGATGCCCTTGCCCAGCTTGTACCCGCAAAGGCTCCACGGTTAGCAAAACATTGGGTTGCTCGTGCTCTGGAATCAATCCGTGCAGTAGCACGCGTGCTTATTTGTACTGCCCATTCTTGAACGTCCAAGCCAGGCCCAGGCTGCTGCCCAGTCTGGTTAAAAAGAACCTACGAACCCTCCTGTAGTAAACGCCAAGTCTCACACTCTTGGCATATAGCCAACAAATATGCCAAAGACAAACGCGAAGACCGTGTAGATGAGACAAAGTCTCTCGTTCTCTTCGCATACCTCCCTCCACCCTATACTGGGATATCTCATTTTTTCGCAAAGCTAGCGGTTGAACTCCAAATTCACTCTGTCATATTCTGAGCGATTGCTGACCCAGAACATTGGTCGCCTCTAGCCACCTGCTACAAGTGACTGAAGAGTCTGTACACATCAGGCCTCACGAGTGTCACTGTATGTTCACAGGTGAGGGTGGGTGGGGAAAAGAAATAAAACCAGGTGGAGGGCCTTGAACCAAAATGGCCATACATGGCCCCACCCTCCACCCTGGTCACTCGTTTCTGTGTCTGACTAAATTCTTTAGTTCAGACAAAGTCTCTCGTTCTCTTCGCATCCCTCCCCTACTGGGATATTTCATCTTTTCCCAAAGGTAGCGGTTGAATTCTAATTTCAACCTGTCATATTCTGAGGGATTGCTCACCCAGAACATTGGTCATTGGTCGCCTCATGTCGCCTCTATAGCCACCTCTACTGACTCTGTCGCGGTCCAATGTAATAGGTCTCCTCTCTCCTTCATCAAGGCTCTAACTTATTTCTGCTCATCCCTCGTAGGACGCTCTCGCCCTAGTCTCCCTTTACCTCGAACTTTGACCATCAGGCTCTCCGAAGCGTATGCCTTACCTAAGCTTGCACTTCCGCCGCTCTTTAGGAGGCCACTCGCTCAGGTCCCACAAGGGAGTTCCTTCTGTAGTCCCTCGCGCTTCTTCTTCTTCTTCTTCTTCGGAAGTCTTCCTTCTTCTTTACGCCTATTACTTCTCGACCTTTTCCCTCTCCGGGCAGGTGAACCTTCCCTGAGTTTCTTCTGGTTGTCGTACCTAAGTACGGGGTCTCAACGATGTCAAACTCCCACACCTCCTTGAGTGACAGCTAAGGCTCTGAGGTTGTCGCCTACTTAGCTTACGTTAGCGGGGGTTTCCCCGTACCTATAAGTCCCTCTATTCCCTCTGTCGACTTCGATCTGCGCTCGTCTTTGCAGATCTGGGGGCGTCGACCCACTGGTTCCCCTTGAGCATTTCCATGATTGTTTCCTTCCTTCTGTCGATCTTGTTCTGTGGTCGACGTGTATCTCCCCGGGGTGGCATTCAAGTACATCTGCCCCCTATAGCTTGTTAAATCGCAGCCCTATTGAGTGCGACTGTCGGGCTGGCTTCCGTGCTGCAGCTGGTCCTCTTCAGCCAAGTTGTTGTTGACCCGCCTAACCATCCTTTTCGCTGGTCACTGTAGCTGCTACGAGCGACACCTCTTTCTGTCGCCGTTGTCACAACGATCCGTACCCTGACCACCCTGCTTCTTGTCCTCCCGCTGAGCCCCGGCAGTACATGCAGGTCCTCCTGCGCCCTTCGACAGCTCAGGGAGATTGGTCTTGTGTACCTCAACGAACGGTGCCTCCCTCACTGTTTGCCTTGCCCGCATCCCTGTCCTTGCCATCCTGTTGAGCTCCGGTGGCGATGGACAGGTCACCCTGCAATTCAAGACAGAAAGAAGTCTCGTACACCCCAACGAACGGCGCCTCCCATCAGCAGCCGGCATGCATTCCTGTCGAAATTCAGGCCGCCTAAACGGTCTTGTGCACCACGACGAACAGTGCCTCCTACTCCTGACCCCGCTACTTGACACTGGATCCATCTTTGCTGACTCTGGCAGTGCTGTCTGCATGAGGCAGCCTCAGCAGGTTTCGTGGACCACAACGAACAGTGCCTCCTATCTTCTGACCCCGCTGCTTGACATGCGCCGGATCCAGCCTCGCTGACTCTGGCAGTGCTGTTGGCCCGACCACAGCTTCAGCCTCGCTGACTCTGGCCATACCATCTGCACGAAGTTTCACCTCCGCTGTCCTTATAGCCTTCCTGGCCTCAACTTGCTACGTCTTCTGTTTGTTCTCCTCCATGTCCTCCGTGTTCCTTCAGCCATGTTCCTTCAACAAGTTGCCCTTTTCCACCTCACTTGGCTGCGCCGTGACTCTAACCACGCGCCGCTCATGGAGGGAGGTCACGTACGCGCGCTCGGCCGCCCCGCCCGATCTTGCCCTAAGGATCCCAGAAGCCACTTTTAAAAATAGCTTCTGGTGGAAGCTAAGATTTTAGGCTGGCAGCCATGGAAAGTGGCTTCCGGGTTTTGAACTCTAGAAGCTACAAAAAGTGGCTTCTGCAAATCAGCATGCGCATCTTTTTCCTTGGCACAACTGTGTGAGACAAGGTGAAACATATTGTACCTATGGTTGCATGGCCTTCTTTCAGGCTGAAGCTGGACATCGGATTTGGGCCTTCTTCAGGCTGAGCTGGGCAAGTTGACATTCAGAGGGGGTGTGTCATTCATGAAACAAAGGAGGGTTTTCTCTGCTTCACTGCTTGCATTTCTCTTCCCACCCCTTCTGAGTGCCCACTGCTGCATGCAGGCTAAATCAAAAATATGCTCAGCCAAGTGCCACTTAGGCTTGGCATGCCAGGAACAAACATCATTTTCATCTTCTCTTTGAATGTGAGATTCCAATGCCATGTACTGGCTCTTCAATGCCCTTCCATATTTGGCCAGCTTCCTGCCATTGAAAGCTTCCACGTGCTGATAGACTTGGGTGGTGAAGGTGGCAACTTTGTGGATTGCTTTTTGCAGGCTGGTGCCTGTGTCAAACTCGTGTGCACTTGTCAAAGTGCTCAAAATCCCCTGCCTGCAGGTTCAGGGGCCTTCCCAGGCTGTTTGGGCAATTGTGCACTGGCTGGGACAGTCTGAATATGTGCCCACAATCTGCTTGCTTTTTCTGGCTTCTTCCCTTCATAGCAGGGCAACAAAGCGTTCAAAACTTGCCCTGCACAGGCTGCACCACATCCTTCATCCATGACACGCATCCAATCAGGGACTATGGTGTGGTTGGTAATTGGGTTCACATGGAAAAGTGGTGCTATGGCCTTTTTTCTCTATTCCAGGCTTGCCAGAAATTGGGCCTTGTCCAGGCTTTGGCTCTTTCTCTGATCTAATGTTTGGCATCTCCACTCACCTGGCTTGCAGGAGCACAGCCAACACATTCCTACTTTGACATTGTGCATAGGACAGCCATACCATTTTACATTCCAATCCCAATCTCCTCGCATCATAACTACAACAGCCTTGCGCAGGCTTTTGCCAATTCTTGTCAATCGAAAGGATTCTTCGGAAGGAGCACCATCATGCCTTAATGCAGGCTGCATTCCCAATACCAAATGTTTCAGGCTCCAAGCAAGAACTTCCAAGATGGCCTGCGTGGTCTCTGGCCTTGCAATGAATTTGGCATCAACGCAAGTAAGGGGGACTCTAATGCCTTGAGGCCAAGAGGTTGACAGTGATGAAATCCAAGCTAGATTGGTTCATTCTGCCTTGCAGCACAGGCACTCCATCACCATGAATACCTGGAGGCACCATGCCTTGCGCAGGCTCACCGCAACCTGCACAGCACTGGGCCAACTTTGCGCAGACTCCAGCCTTCTCCAGCTTCTGCAGCTGATAGCGCACATCCTTCCAAGCTTCCCTGTCAGGTGCCTCATAATGGCCTTCTACAGGCTGACTTTGGGCCTTGGCCTTGGCCCTGGCTTTGGCCTTGGGCTTGGCCTTGGCTACAGCTTTTGGTGAAATTTTTCATTCTGATTCTGGGTGCTTGGGGTGAGCCCCTTGCAGAATCCTTGGTAGGGGTGCCTTCCTCAGGCTTGTCTTTGTGAGGAGTGGCTGTCTCTTGCTTCACTACAATGGTGCCTTGTTCAGGCTTGGTCCGCCTCTTTCTAGGTGGCGTGGGTGCCAGGTTTGGTGTGTTTGTGCTTGTTGTGTGGCGTTGGTTGTTTGAAGGTGCTGGTGTGTTGGTGGTCCTTTTCTGGTGTGTTGGTGGTCTGCCCTTGATTTTTCAAAAGCTGCAGCAGAGATGCAAAAAGTAAGAAAATTTACGAAAAAGTACTAAAATCGTACTTTCGTACTTTTGTACTTTTTATACATTTCCTTTTAATTTAAAAGGAAATATATAAAAACATAAAAAAGTACAAAAGTACGAAAGTACGATTTTCGTACTTTTTTTGTACT